AGAGCACACGTATGTGTCGCATCTGTCAGAACGTACACGACAGACATGGCTCAGCTGTCACAGCGGGGTGTGGGTCACCGGCCCGTCCCCAGCAGCCACACGCCGCGCCTGGCGTGTCACAGGGCGCGGAGATGCCTGCTGAGTGAGTGACCAAAGTGACCGGGTGAATGACAAGCTGTAGCAGAGGCAGGAATTCAGATGCACGCCCGCGTGACCTCAGCATGCAAGACCTGGTCTCGTCCCCTCCTGTAAAAGGGGACAGCCGGCTCCCTAATTCTGTTTGCTTTCATTTTTTTTTTTTAACAGAGGTCTAACTCATATAACAAGATTACCTGTTAACCAGTGTAAGTGAACCATCCGCGGCCTTTTGGCACACTCGCCGTGTTAGGCAGCGTCTCCACCAGCTCCAGACCCGTCTCATGACCCCGGGGCAGAAGCCACACTGCCCCCTCTCCCCAGTTCTGGCTTCCACTGATCCACTTTCTCTCCCTTTCGATGTACCTGATTGAGAAGCGCCAGACCCGTGCGGTCGGCATGCGGCCTCTTGCGTCAGCACGTCATGCTGGTGGAGGGGGACCCCGTGCTGGGGCTGCACCCCGTCTGGCTTCCCCATTCGGCTGCGGGGGCTCACGTGGGCCCTTGTGAATAGTGCTGCTGTTGTTGATGTGCTCCTAGGCGTATTTGTTCGAGCTCCTGCTTTCCACGCTCCGGGCTGTATGCTTAGGACTGGAACTGCTGAACCGTAGGCTAAGTTAAGTTTATTTATTATTTTTTTTAAATTTTATTTTTGAGTAAGAGACAGAGTGAGAGCAGGGGAGGGATAGAGAGAGAGGGAGACACAGAATCAGAAGCAGGCTCCAGCCTCCGAGCTGTCAGAGCCCGAGGCAGGATTCCAACTCACAAACTGAGATCATGACCTGAGCTGAAGTCAGATGCTAACCCACTGAGCCACCCAGATATCCATCTTTTTTTTTTTTTTTTTTTTTTGAGAGAGAGCAGAGAAGGGGCAGAGAGAGAGAATCCCAAGCAGGTTCTGTGCTGTCAGCACAGAGCCCGATGCAGGGCTCAAACTCATGAACCATGAGATGGTGACCTGAGCTGAAATCAAGAGTCAGACAACTGAACCACCCAGGCACCCCGGAACCCCTCTTAAAGACTGGAGGTGTGGGAGCTGGTCTCTGGCCCCCTCCCTCTCATCCTTCACCCCAGTAGGTGCCCTCTGACGTGCTGGGGAGCCCCCCACTCAGTTCACGGTGATGCTGCATCGCACTGACAAGCTGAGTGCTTGTTCCCGCCCCCTCCCCCCCCAACTCCGGGACCTGGCTGAGCAGGGCCCTCCTGAATAAGACAGGAGAGCTGGGCCTCCTCCCCCACGGTGGGGGTCTCCAGGCCACCCAGCGCCTCACCTTCTCTCCCAGCACTCTGTGCTCTGGTGTCCCTGCCCCCCTCCCTGGGCACCGGGCCCTCACCCGTTCCACGTCTCCTCACGCCGGAGCATTTGCTCAGGCCTTCCCTCCCCTTTCCTCCGTGGCTGCTGCGAATCTGCTCCCTTTTGAGGGTGCAACTCCGGTGACCCCCTCACTGGCATCGCGATGCCCCCCACCCCGTCCCCGTTCCCACAGCACCTTGTTCTTACGGGCAAACGTGATTTCACCCCAGCTTATGCAGAATTACTTGTTGACAGTGAATTGGAAAATTTTTATATACGTATCTCGCCGGGTTATTTTAAGGATGTATCGACACGAAGGGGGAAGCAGCCCAGTACATTAAATTCTCCTGTCCTCCCCCCGCCACTAAATCATGAGTTTCAGAAAGAGAGGAGCCTCTTATCCGTCTCAGGACTTACATAATGCAGTGCCTTGCCTATAACAGGCGCCTAATTAATTGCTGTTGATTGAGTTAATGGGCTGGAGAGGGTGAGCGCGTGACACCACCTCTTGTGATTGTTGGAGGCGTATGTGCTGAGAATTCCTGTCTGACGGAGGTCAGGTTTCTGTTATAAGGTCACTCCCAACTGCAGGCCACCGAAATGTCACCGCCACGTATTCCCCCATGACATTTTGTAATTGAAAGTGCTGCAGGTGTGACTCCTACTTTGGCAGAGCATTCAAATGTTAATACGTGAGTTCTCCGAGATTTCTCGCCTTTTCAAACACGTGTTTAATGGAAATGGGGTTGTGTGGAGTCTTAAGTACTCCGGTCTGAGACAAATGGCTTTGAATGAGAGACAGTAACTGCTCTTTCTACATGGTTCCCTTGCTGCTAAATTCACAGGCTCCCTGTGAGCTGGGCATGCCAGAATAGATACAAAGAAAAAACGTCCGTTGAGTGATCAAGGAAAGAATGGTTTCTCAGTTAACGTCTGGTCTGGTCGCATGGCCCATGGCCGTGCTTTCCTCCGTAACATTTCCTCCTGTGAAAAGCAACAAAAATTTCCTCTGCAGTAGACCCTTCGTATTCATCAAGCCCAGGATCTGCTGGCTGGTGTTGTTATTCCCCGAATTAATTGAAGCTGGAACGAGTAAAAAAGCGAGACCTTCGGGGTCAGACTGTCCCAGGCGTTCCTGAAACCAAGGCCAAGTACCTAACCCCTCCTGGCCTCCGTGCCCTCGCCTCTGAAATGCGGAGACACCCTCCCTCCTGGATGGTTGGGCACGTGGAAGGGAGTGCGGTACCCTTCAGTCCCCCCAGCCCCCTCAGACTACTGTCACTGCCACCCCGGAGGCACCCCAGATCCACCCCCAGGAGACAACGCTTTACCCTTAGCCACGCTGCAGGCTCAGCGCCCCCTGCAGTGATGAAGAGGAGGGGCCATCAGCACGATCCGATCTGGGGCGCAGCAGTCTGATACTCTAACCGTGCTGTTGGCCGGCCTCTGTGTGCAAGCGACACAAATCTGGATACTTGAGCAAGCTAAGGAGAAGAAAGAGGAGGAAGAGGCAGTGGGAGGGGGTGGCATCTTTCTTCCGGACTTTGTTCCCGACGGGAACAAAGTCCTTCACTTCTCCCTCAGTGCTGATGTTTCCTTCCAACTCCATTTGGGAGGGGGACATGGATGAGCCTGATGTTCCTGCCCCCCCCCCGCCACACCCGCTCACCCCCAGGGAGAGGGGAACTCACTTCGCCCCGCGCTGTTCAGCAGCGAGTGCTGGACACATGGGCAAGCTGGGCTCCGGGCTTGAGATGGAGCCAGGGAGCCCCGGCGTCCAGGGCCTACGTCCTGTCTTGCCGTTGCGGCCCCCATGGCACGTGAAAGACCCAGTCTGCGTGCCCGCTGCCCTCATGGTGGGAAAGGCGGCCGACCTCACTGCTCCCAGGACGCTGGCCTATCCTGGTCCAGTCGGTCACACGGCATGGATGTGGCCGCCAGGTCTGCTCCCCTGCAGACGGAGGGGGAGGTTTCTGAGAGCGGGGAGGCATGTGCGGAACAGACACCCCAAAAAGTACCTCCCGGGGTCCTGGGGGTGAGACAGGGCGGTGTCCACAGCACATGTAAGTTCTCAGGCTGTGATAATGGTCACAAGGCAAGCGCTTCACCTGACCGACCCCGGCGCCCCGTGCCCAGTGCCCACTGGGGGCCCGCACGTAGTAGGTACACCGTGCATGCCCACAGAATGGGTGTGTTCCAGCCAGTGCCATCCGCCCACCTCCTCTGTTCAGTCTTTGTCTCTAATACTACAGCCCGACCCCCATTAGCTCTGGGGGCCCTGGGTGGGGGTCCTGCCAGCCGGTCACCCAGCGCCAGATGCCCACATGTTTCCTCACCCCTGCTGCAAGGCCTGCCCGTCACTTCCAGCTGGTACTTCCTCCGCGCTGCCATCGAGCTGGGGCTTTGTTGCAGACTGAATGAGGGACACCCGTGACTCAGTGACTCTGGGGTCACACCAGTCTGTCTACAGACCCACTCTTAACCTCTCTGTGCCTCACTTTCCTCGTCTGTAAAAAGGGGACCACAGAGCATCCTAACAATAACAAATAGTGCCGCACGCAGAGCCTAGAGCAGCGTGCAGCCACGGAAAGGAAACGGGGTCCATGAGCAGTGAGAAGCGAAGGGCTCCATCACCGTCCTGAGGTCCCACACAAAACAGAAAATACACACTCCAGGTCACACAGCAGGGATTTAGCCAGAAGACCCACAAACCAAAAGATGCAGAGGGAGCACATGTGAATGGTGGCCTGGGGATGGGGTGTGGAGAGGTGTTAAAGGAAAACAGAGTTGGGGGTGGTGCTCCAGGCCCACAGTGCAAAGGGCAACTAGCAGTTCTGGCCAGGGAGCGCGGGGCTTGGTGGGGGGGAGTGGGTCTGGAGGGAATCAACAGACTGGTAGCATGGGGGCTGAGAACCTCACTCCCTGGGTTTTGAAACAAAGCCCGGCATCCCGGGAGCCCCCTCCATCTCCAGCAAACTCCAGACAGTTGGTCACGCCGATGATCCCCAAAACAGACCACCGGGTATGGCACTGGGTCCCAGGGTTCCCAGATAGCCCCAGGGGACCAGTGTTCTGTGAGGGGATGGGGCAGGGGGCTCCCAGCTGCTCTGAATCCTCCTCCATCTGAGCCTCCCCCCCCATCTCACGGCCTGGGCTTGCTTGTCCCCGGAGGGGGGCAGGGGGGAGGGGATGACCCACTGAGCTTGTCAGCTCGCCTACAGAGAGGGCTCTCAAGCCAGCTCTGTCCCCTTTCTCCAGTTTTCCATATAGGAAACATGTATAATGGGCCTGCCTGGGGTGTGGTCAGGGTCCTCCAAAAACACCTGTGAGCAGATTTTTATTTCAGTCATCTCAGCACCCAACGGTGGGTCCCGGACGCAGGCCCAGAGACGGAGGGTCACATGCTGTTCTGCCTGAGCCGGCCAGGTGCCCCCAGTGTGTATTCGGCCCGAAAGCAGAGGGTGTGATGTCAGGAGAACCTTCTCCATGACGTGGGGTCTCAGGGAGTGGGGTTCTCGCAGCAGGGATGAGCCCTTGGCCGGCCTGACCCTGCACCTCTGTTTTCTTTCAGGGTGGAAGTGCGCCCGGAGCCTCTGTTCCTAAAGCGGAGGATCATGGCGTTCATGTTGCTCAGCCGGCGGCTGGCCTGCACCTTCCAACACAACTACCGCCTGCTCGCGCCCAGTAAGCCCGGGGGTCTTGGCAAGAACTGGTCCTGATGGGAAACGCCATCCCGACTGGCGGGGAGAGCCCTGGCGGGTAAAGGGACCAGGCGGCCAGCGCTTCGGGGGTCTGTCCCTCCCCCTGCCCGCACACACACACTAAACCTGTCCCCATCACCGCCCCATCCCCCGTCTCCGCCACGTGCTCCTGTCCCTGCGTGGACAGCTCTGGGTGGCCTGGAGGTGGTGGCCCCAGCAGCCAGGAGGGTCCGGGCTGTCCTCACAGGGACTGTCGGGGGAAACACAGCTGAGCCTGTCGCCGGGAAACGGAAAGGCTACAAACGTCCTTGTGACTGACCTCAAGGCCAGGTGTGCCTCCCAGGGCTGCCCTCTCCCTCACCTCTGCTGACCCGCACCCACCTGCGGCAGCGCCCACCCTGCTGGCCGCGTCTCTGTGGGGCTTCTGTTTCTCCCTGCCTCTCTGAGTTCAGGCAGCTTAGCCGGGCCAGCCTCCCTTCCACAAGGAAGGCACGCATGAAGCCCATTTTACAGAGGAGAAAGCTGAGGCTCAGAAGCAAAGTCACATGGCCGCTTGAATGCAGGTCAGTCTGCCTGCAGATGCCGGGCTGTCATGCCTCCTCCACGCCCCTCCTCGGGGCTCTGGGAGACACGGGCTGGCCGTGGCCTCCTGTGGGCACCCTGCACGCCCCCCCCGCCCCCGACGTCTGTCCCAGCTCTCTCAGAGCCCCGTCTTTGTCGTCTTGGTGTCCCTTTGTTGCTCTCGTCTGCCTCCTGAAGGCAAAGTGCTGCCCTTGACCTTGGTCTGCATCTTGAATGCTGGGGTTTATATCCTAGGTGGGGATGCCTTCCCACAGACGCAGGGCTATTAGCAGGTTGTATTTTAAAATAAACCTTTTAAGGGCCCTGCGTGGCTCAGTTGGTTAAGCGCCTGACTTTAGCTCAGGTCACGATCTCATGGTTCGTGAGTTCAAGCCCCGAATTGGGCTGTGTGCTGACAGCTCAGAGCCTGGAGCCTGCTTCAGATTCTGTCTCCCTCTCTCTCTGCCCCTCCCCTGCTTGCTCGCTCTCTCTCTCTCAAATATAAAATTTTTAAAAAACACCAAAATATTAAAATATGCCTTTTACCTTGGGTTGATTTTACGAGTACAGAGAAGGTGCTAGGATATTACAAATCCCATATGCCCCAGCGCCCCCCGGCTAACACCTTCCCTCACTAGGATGCTCTCGTCAAAAACGGAGAAGCTGACCTTGTAGATTATAGCTACCCGAACTCCAGGCCTCTCTGTGGATTTTACCAGTTTTTCCCTCAGTGCCTCTTTCTGCCCCAGGATCCAGCCCGAGTCCCGCAGTGAGCTCTGGGTCCCAGCTACCCGGTATCATCCAGTCTGTGACCGTGTCTGTCTTCCTTTGTTGTTCTTGACCCTGATAGCCTCGAGGAGTTAGTAGGCTTGAGGTTCTGTTTTATTTTATTTTATTCAATTGTAAGAGAAGCATGTTAACGCTTACCCACTGTTACCTTAAAAGTAAACCCAAAGCAGATCGCTGATGCCCGAGTGGTGTGCTCCTAGCGGGAGAGAGAGTCGTCCATAAGCGGTAATGCTGAGCACCCGCTGGGTGCAGAGGGTGCTGTGGTGCTGAGGGCGTGGCCCCCTGGGGCTCCCGGCCGCTGGTGCACGCGGCCCTGCCTCTGCGGGTCATTCTCAAGGGCATCTGCGCCTTCCCAGGGAGACCACTAGGGAAGAGCCGTGAATCAAGGCCCCTATGCCTGGGCCACATTCTACCCAGGGAGCCTGGCCAGGGGGCAGAACTCTGAGCCTCCGTTTCTCATCAGGAAAGTGGGTCTCCTCAGGAGAGCGAGGACAGTGCCAGGAGCGTCCTGCCTCGCACGTGTCTCGGACCAGAAGGAACAGTTCAGGGCCACCTGGACCCTCTGATTCTCTCGGCAGACATGTCTGCTCTCAAAAAATAAATACTTTTTTAAAAAAGAAGGAACAATTCATGGAAAGCCCTTCGTTTATATTTACAAAGCATGAATAAGGAAAAAAAAAAAGACGGAAATGACTAAATCAGAATTACCAGGTCTGCATTTTCTTGGCCAGAGTAGTATCTTTTTTTGGGCACACTTGTGCCAGATTTAGAGAACCATACAGTGAGATCTTTCCTCTAGCCTATCAGCCTGACATATCTAATACAATAGAGAGATGGTCAGTAGGTAGGTAGGTGGGTAGGTAGGTAGGTAGACAGACAGGTAGGTAGGTTGGTAGATAGGAGTTTTTAATACTAAACCACGGTGTTGGCAAAAATACAGGAACCTGTGTGTTCATACACTGCTGATGGGCAAGTAGCAATAAGGAAGTAGATTTTTGTGTGTTTTTCTTTTAATAGGCTCCACACCCAGTGTGGAGCCCAATATAGGGCTTGAACTCATGACCCTGAGTCAAGACCTGAGCTGAGATCAAGAGTCGGGTGCTTAACCGACTGAGCCACCCATGTGCCCCGATGAAATAGTTTTAAAATGGTATCTAATCTTTAATCCGTTTAGTTCCCTGGGAGAGGAAAGCAGAGACAAAGAGAAAGTATGTAACTTTCTCAGAACCTCGGTGCTAGCAGGTGGGTGAACCCGGCTTTGAGCGAAACCAGGCTGGCCCCCAAACTTGCAACCTTAACCACTGTATTCGTTATTTATCGCCATGTAACACATAGCCCTAACTGTGCCAGGTAAAATAATGCACATTTACTATGTCACGGTTCCCGTGGATTAGGAGTCTGCAGGCAGCGTAGCTGTGTGCTCTGGTCTTCCATGAGGGTACGGCTGAGCTGTCAGCCAGGGCTGTGGCCTCATTCGGAGGCTCACCATGGAAGCCGGGGGATCTGCTTCCAGGCTCACTCCCACGGTGCTGATTGGATTTGGTGCCACACGGACATCTCCACAGAGCGGCTCACAGCCTGGCACCTGCGTTCCCCGGAAGGAGGGAGAGCGGGAGGGTGCTTCAGCCCACCTCCGCTCCCACGGTATTTAGGTATTTGTGTGGTATCTCCACCCATCGGATCGCTGTGGACCCTCAGACACGGCAGCTCGTGGCTCAGACAATGCTCCCAGTGGCACTGTTTTGTGCCCCTCCCCTACAGTCATTGATAATCTTTTTTGTTTTAATTTGTTAATGTTTTATTTATTTCTGAGAGAGAGAGAGAGACAGCATGAGCAGGGCAGGGTCAGAGAGGGAGGGAGACACAGAATCTGAAACAGGCTCCAGGCTCTTAGCTGGCTGTCAGCACAGAGCCCGACGCGGGGCTCGAACCCATGAACCGTGAGATCATGACCTGAGCCGAAGTCGGACGCTTAACCGACTGAGCCACCCAGGCGCCCCTGATAATCTTATATCGGCAAACAGAGCACAAAGACTGGGAGACTGCAAGGTCAGTGGTGAGACTACTGATATCTTCCTCAAGGAACATGTTCTGAAAAACATCGGTGGGGTGCTGCCTCCCTGAGAGCAGGTGAAAGAAAGGGCTGGAACGTTGCCACTCACAGGCGACAGCGCACAATCCCCTCTGGCCGTACCAGACCTGCGATGCCAGGAACGTCCTGAACGGCCTGGAGTGTCCCACGCCCTTCGGAGAACCAGAGCACCCAGGAGAATAATGGAGAAGGAAACCCTTTATTGCCAAGTGCATCCTCAGCCGCATCCGTCTACAGCCTGGCAGGTGCAGACACCGGTGGTGCTGAGCAGAAGGACCACCGGGGTATTAGAAGGAAACGAAGAGCCGCTAGAGATGGACCGCCGTCCCCTGTGTCTCCACCGTCACCCACCCGAGTCTCCCTCCGAGGAGCCCCGTCTCCTGAACGGACCAGAACGGGGACGCTGTGTCGTGAGTCGTGGCCTGCAATGCGAGGAACTACTGCAGGCTCACAGGGAGAACAGGGACCGTTGTCCAGCTCATCCGGCCGTCACCGCGACACTGTCCTTCTTGAGCTGACAGAAGGTCTCCAGGAGCCTAGCCGAGGACCGAAGTTCTGCTCGGAGCGAGGAAATACCAGGAACAGGGGGAAAGCCCCCTCCTCCCAACAGGCCCCCCCCCGAATGTAAATAAAAAAGGTGAAGAGCCACCCAAAGGCAACAGCGCGTCTTCCAAGATTGGCGTTTGAATGGGACACCCCCTTGGAGAAGGACCCCACCCCCCAGCTGGCCAGACAGCAGGCAGAACCCGCTCTGACAGCTGCCGGAAGGAGGGGAAATGAGGAGGAGAAGCCGGAAGAAGGCCCTGTGGGCTGCCCACCATCCTGAGAACAGTGACATGGAACCGGGTGTGTTTACCCTAAACCTGCAAGGAAAGTAAAAACGGGAAAGCCAGCCGAAGCGGGAGGAGTCACAGCCCTCACGTGGGAGGTGGCCCAGAACAAGGGTGTCAGAGGCGAGAAGTCCTAGCAGTTTCAACCCTCGGTTTCAAGGAGTGGCCATGGATTCTTCTGGATCTGGGACGGGAGGAACCAAACAGCCATTCCGGAAAGGACGTTTGAGACCCCACAGAGCGAAGCCCATCAGAACTTCTCGTTCGGGGTGTGATGGAGTTAGCCCTGCCCGTGAGGTCGGCAGTCGCTGTAAGATGGTGCCCCTGGATGGGTGGCAGAAACTCACACCGTGACCTCCTTCACGAAGGGATCAAGGAGCTCTTCACAGCTGTCCTCAGAGCCAGGGGATGAGGATGATGAGCCCCCAAAAGGGGCTTTGAGGGGCCCCGAGCACAGTGAATGCAGTGCACATACTCGCGAACTTACCTGTTCAGCAGAGAAAACTGGCCGAGCTCGTAGCTGGCGAGTCGGAAGTGCACTGGCCGTATCTCCGAAGGGACTGGCCACACCATCCGCTGCTACACCGTCAAGTGTGTGCAGCGGCCCCCGGCTGCAAGAGCGGGTTCTCTGCCTTCCCTCTAGACGGCGAATCCTCTCTGCAGGATGGGCACATGGTGCCGTGGTCACCTTCAAAGAAAGGACAGTAAATGACTCAAGATCTTTTTTTTTTTTTTTTTTTACCATTTGAGAGAGAAAGAGCATGCATGCACACAGCCGGGGTAGACACAGAGGAAGAGGGGGAGAGAGAGAGAGAGAGAGAGAGAGAGAGAGAGAGAGAGAGGGAGAGGGAGAGAGGGAGAGAGAGAACCCCACGCAGGCTCCACGCTCAGCACAGAGCCCGATGCAGGGGTTGATCGCACGAACCGTGAGACCATGACCTGAGCCATGATTGAGAGTCGGATACTCAACCTGTGGAGCCAGCCAGGCACCCCACGACTTGAGATCTTTGAATGCCGCAGCCTGAGGCTGTCAGCCATCTTGCCACAGCCGAGGAAGGTGCCCCAAAGGTGCTCATGGTTGGGTCTCTTGTTCTGTAGCATTAAATGCACGCAATGGATTCCTCCCCCTCCAGGGACTCCAGAGGCCCCAGCAAACCGTGCTTTGCGTGAAGGGGGTGAATGACCTTGTGCTCAGCGGCTGTCAGCCCATGTGCCCTCGGCGTCCGTGCTGGTGGCCGTGTGTGGATCTGTGAAAGTCACACTCACGATCTGTAGTAAGTCTCCTGGGAAAAGCAGTGGTGACCACGTGCCTGGAGAACTGTGTCCTGTCTGTGAGTCAAACTCCCACCAGCGACTGCAGGCTTATGGAGGACACGAAGACTTGACCGTGTGCACACCCATCCGTAAGAGTGTGATCTCTCCCGGCTGACAGGATGCCAGTGTTCAGACTGCGAAGCTAAATCTGCTGCAGAATTCCCACTGTCTGCGGCACGGTTACTCTCTGATATTTGGCATTTCAAAATCATTTCAAATTACTCAAAACCACCATTCGTGTGTTTGCCGACCACACGCATCCCAACGTTCAAACCCTGCAACGTCCCTGGCAGAAGTGTGATGCTCTTCTCGCCGCTGGGAAAGGATCGAAAGAGGCTGAATGACGTGCTGAGGATAACACAAAACCGAGCCGGGGAGCTGCTGGCCTCCCGTCCCGGGAAGAGTTTCCAGCCAGGTGTGCCGCCAGCGTGAGTCTGGGCTCCTGTAGGGGACGACACGTTACACTGCAGGTTCTTCCTGGAGGTCTGTCAGACTTACACAGATTCTACAGAACGATACTTCTCTGGGACAGCATGGAATATAGTAATTTAGGCTACTAGTATTCTCCAGATGTTTATGAAAGAGGTAGATCTTAATTGGTTAAAAAAAATAAATGAGGTGGACACTTGGGGAGGGGAAGATTTCTTAAAAGAAAGAGCAAAGCACACAACTCCGATTGAACTTGACCTTGACTTTGGCCAGGCTCACATACGGAGCCCTTCCTGTTTGGGCAAAAGGCCTTCATTTATTACTCTCAGTATAAAGATCAAGAGAATGTTAAAAACATTTGATGGCTGTTTTTACAGCTTGGAGTTAAACATTGACTCTAGTTTGGTGAGGCCGCAAGGGTGGCCGGCATCGCATCGGGTTCGCAGAGGCAGAGGGCCGGGCTGCACTTCCCCACCGTGCGGCTCTTCTGGCTGTGTTGTGTCGTTCACGAATGAAAATGCTGGGTGGGTCACTGTTAATTCAGACTCTCTTTGCTTCTTTGCGCCTCTAGGAAAGCTGTTTTGCTGAAAACGTTTCATTTCAAAGACGGGCACTAGGTGACCCGAAGGGCAGCATCTGTTACACGCCCGGTCTCTGGGAAGGGAGAGGTCAGGTGGACGAATTTTCAGCCTAGCGCTTACTAGCTGTGTGACCATGCAGATTAGGTGACCTTTCTGGGCTTCAGTGTCTTCTTCCGTAACATGGGAGCAATCGTAACATCTACCTCCCAGAGGGGATTGAAGCTTAGGTGAGGCGATCCACGTGAAGTGCTCAGGACGCTGCCTGACACGCTCACCCTAAATGCCCGATGAAGGAACACCTCTGCTCACGTGACTTGACGGAAGCGATCCCAGGGAGTTTAACTCGTGCTCTTTTCTCTTGCGGCTCATGGCAGTATATATCATCACTAAGAGAACATCTTTGTGTTGGTGTTTGGTTATTTTCCTCTACAAGAAGTCAAAGTGGAGATATTGCAGGAAAAGCAAAAGTATTGGACCTGCGTTCAAATCCTAGCTCCGCAGTTCACTAGCTGTGTGACCTTGAGAAGGTCGCTTAACCTCTCTGCTCCTCATCTGTAACCTGCGAACCATCTCTCGAGAGGGCTGCGGAGGAACTGAAACAGGAGATGGGAATTTGCCTGCCTAGCACACAGCAGGGGCTGCACCCGTGTTTGCTGCCCCCACCTCCCCTTGTTCGATAGCATGGTGGCCAGCGTACCCGGCTGTGGCTTCCAGGACCTCTGCCCAGAGGCCCTGGGCCCTCTTCCGGCCACACCCTCGAAGACTTGGCACATGGAAGGACCCGAGGCAGCTCTCAATGCAGACCTGCCTGCCTGACGCCTAGCCACCCCGCCTCGTGCCTGAGCACCCCCAATTCCCAGGGACGGGTTCTCGCCCTCCCTCCCCGCCCCTCCCTGCGTCTGCCCGCAGTCTTGGCATCCCTATACTGTAGCTCCGCGCGACCCCACTCAGCCCTGTCATTCCCCGGAGACCCTTTCAGGCGCAGCTCCCACTGGGACCTGTGTCCAGGGCTGGCGTTTCCACCTTGCAGACCCCAGGACATCTGACTGCCGCAGCGCGGCGCCAGGACACTTTCTGGAGAAGGAAGAGAGGACTTAGGTGTCCTCACTGGAGGACAGCTTTCACGCTTTGAATTTGCCCCCCCCACCCCCCCCACACACTTACCAGAAACAAAGCAGGATCAGCACGAGTTAAGAACTGTTTTTATCCAAACACGCATCCCTGTGTTATGCAGGTCTAGCTGGAATCGGCCTGGACCCGTAGCCCTGAGTTCTGGCCAAGGAAGCAGTAAACAGCTTAATGTAAACAAGAAGTCATCAGTATGTTCCACGACCTTCTAGCTCTCTGCTAATGGAACCGACTCTGTAGGGACTCCCTTTTCATTTTCAGATCAAACAGAAGACAATAAAAGCCGGCTGCCTCGTGCTCCAAAATGAAGGGTAGCATTGGATTTTAACTGGACTTGATGTTCACAGGGCTCCATTGTGTTACAAAAACCCTCTTTGATATCCAAAGCCATTATGGAAAATTAAGAATGCATTTAAATATGTTCTTTAATATCATGGCTTCACATAGTTTGGCAAGCTGTGTGTGTGTGTGTGTGTGTGTGTGTGAGTGTGAGTGTGAGAGAGAGAGAGAGAGCGGGAGAATGAGGGTGAGAGAGAGGGAGGGAGGGAGAGACAGATCCTAGAATGGTTCTTGGCTTCTCTCGGTGGTTTCCTCTCCTACCTAACGGGAACAAAAGTACGAAGTGTCTAGTGACTCCCTAGTCTAATGCATGCACGGCAAGAAGGAGGAAGGGACATTTCCCGGCTACCACATGTGTTCTGGGAACGCCGAAGACAAGCAAAGACATTGAAGGGATCTCTGGGGGTGCTGACGGTCAGTCACCCCACACTTACCATGGGTTCACCACAGCTGTCTTTCAGTCAGGGATCAAGACTTGGGGGGGGGGGTGCCTGGGTGGCTCAGTGAGTTAAGCGCCCGACTCTTGGTTTTGGCTCAGGTCATGATCTCAACATTCATGGGATTGAGCCCCACATCGAGCTCTGCCCTGGCAGCTCAGAGCCTGGTTGGAATTCTCTCTCTCCCTCTGTCCCTCTCCCATTTGTGCCTCTGTCTCTCTCAAAATAAATAAGTAAACTTAAAATTAAAAAATTTGGGGGGCACCTGGGTGGCTCAGTTGGTTAGGCGTCCAACGTCGGCTCAGGTCATGATCTCACAGTTCATGGGTTCGAGCCCCATGTCGGGCTCTGCTGACAGCTCAGAGCCTGGAGCCTGCTTCAGATTCTGTGTCTCCCTCTCTCTGACCCTCCCCCCTGCTCATGCTCTGTCTCTCAAAAATGAATAAACGTTAAAAATTATTTTTTAAATTTTTAAAAAAAGACTTGGGATTGAGGCTGCCCTTCACTTCAGCAACATGCTGAGCTCAGAAGCCTTGCGGGTCTAGCCTGGGAACTCCCCTCCTGACATTTATTACCATGCACGAGTGTGAAATGGATCTCCACCAAGTGACTTGTGCCCCAAACTTTTTTTTTTGGTTAAAAGCATCTGTAAGTGGGGACAACCTGTATTTAGCCATTTGATCATTTACCCCATGTGATTCCCAAATGTCACAACTAGGGGCACAACTCAAGGGAGGTGATGCTGGCATCCAGTGGGTGGGGTACCGCCAAACATCCTCCAGGACACAGGACACAGAGCATTATCTGCCCCAAAATGCCGGTGGTGCCAAGGCTGAGAAACTCTGGTACTTTTGGATATACATTTGGACATGGATTAAATTTTAACAAATTTGGATAACTTTTGTAATGCTAATGCCATGGCCATCTTTCCATGTCTGTAAATATTTAAACCACCCACGTCGGTACTATGAACAGATGCATAATATTCCTTTGTCCATGAAATGGTGGAATCTGTCTTGTTCTGTTTAGCTGCCCTCCACTGCTTTCTCTCTTTGTTAAAAGACATTACGAGGATGAATATTTAAATCTACATTTTTTGTGTACTGGCCCCATTATTCTCTTAGGATGAATCCTGAAATGAGATTCCTCAGTCGAAAGGAGTAGGAAGGCAGCATTAGCTGGTACTCACACCAGCAGGACACGAGCATGCCTATTTGCCTACAACCTCACTAACACTGGGCTTTCCTGTTTTTTAGAATCTTCACTGTTTTGTTGGGGCCCAGGTCTGGCCAGACTCTGTGTTTGGGGGTGGTCTGGCTCGGATGGGATTGAGGTCCTGGCACAGCCTCCATTGGGGACATTGGGCACCTGTTGGGGCAGAATTCTCATATCTACCGTCTCCAGGGATTCTCATCTTCTTTCTTTACTGCAGGCTCCAGACACATCAGTCAGGCCGCAGCCAAAGTCGACGTTGAATTTGATTATGATGGGCCCCTGATGAAGACAGAAGTCCCAGGGCCTAGATCTCGGGTGAGTTGAGCACACTTGAGTGGTGTTCTTAAGAACAGCGTGAAAGGGGTCCATGAGGCAAGAACACAGCTGAGCTTAAAGACCTATATTCTTAGTTGCTTTCAGAGAGCTTACCACTAGAGTTCCAGGACATTCTGCCATAAGAAGTCAAAGAAAGCTTCTCAGAGGAGATGTATTCATTATTTGTTGTTACGATAATGCTGTGTAACAAACAAGCACAATACCTCAGTAGCTTGCTAATGCATCGAGGGTTAACTGGGAGTTAGCCAGGCAGCTCTGTTGGGCCCATCTACAAGCCTGGGGGATGACTGGCCACTGGTTGATGCAGGATAAGCTTGTCTTGGTCACTGCAGTGACGTGGCTCCGCTCCCTATGTCTCTCGTCCTTCAGCAAGCTCGGCTGGGGTCGTCCTCATGGTGATGGCAGAGGTGAGCACGTGATGTCTAGGCTCCACACTGGTCTGCCATCACTCCTACCTCATTCTGTTGGCCAAAGCAAGGCAGATGGCAGTGCTAGAGGGCACAGGGCAAGGAAGCAAAGGCCCTTGATCTTGACCTTGAAGGATAAAAAGAGTTCACCGAAGGAGTGCATTCTGTTGTAGACCAGGTAGAGAGAGGCGTGCAGGGTGATAGGACATGGTATGTGAGACACGGGGGGGATAGCTCCGAATCCCTGGAATAGATGTTATCATGTGAGACGGAAGGGGCCCAGGATGTGTCTGATGAGGGGAGGCTGGGGCTTTTCAAAGTTGCTACAGAACCTGCATATTACACACTTCAGGAGGCTGACTAACCTTGACTCTGTGTTGCTCTGTGTGGTACTGTGTCTAATGTTCGCACCTAAAAAATAAGTGTAAACCTTTTTAATACAAATCAGCTTTTTTCTCCACAGATTTTATCCACAGTGTCACTTTTTTTTTTTTTTTTTTTACTATCAGAAGAAACCCCTTTTTGAAAAATAAGATAAAAACAGAGAGGGAGGCAAACGACAAGAGACTCTTAAATACAGAGAACAAGCTGAGGGTTGCTGGAGGGGGGTGGGAGGGGATGGGTAAATGGGTAATGGACATTAAGGAGGCCACTTTTGGGGATGAGCATCGGGTGTCCTATGTAGGAGCAGAATCACTGGGTTCTACTGCTGAAGCCAAGACTACACTGTATGTTAACTAACTTAAGAATAAAAGAATTTAAAAATTTTTAAAAATTCAAAAGAATATATACACAACTTACTGAGATGAACATAAGAGTTTAGCAATATTGTGGGCACAAAAGGCATTCAGCATCTATATATTCCAGCAATAAACAGAAATGGTTTTTTTAGAAGATGGCAGGACTTAATATAATTACCACATACTCCTTAACCTACTGTATTTCTATGTGACTTCCCATTCTTTATCAAAACTAGCATAAAAATGTTAGTTTCTAACCAGTATTCTAACAAGTGTCTAACTTGTTTCTTCAGGTCTTCATTTCCTTATGAAGACTCCCACATCATGTAAAACTTAAATTTGTATGCTTTTCTCCTGTTTAAAAAAAAGAGGCCTTTTGTCATTGCAATTACTTTATAAATCCAGAAATCTTTGTACTAATGCAAGTCATTGTAGTTATTTTGATGGTGTTTTGCTAACAAAAGGAGAGACTTTTTCATGCATATTTCTATGGGGGAGGGGCGGATTTTCATTTCATAGTGGAGAAATACCTAGAATAATTTTTTATATTCTTGTCATTACTATTGGTTTCTACTTTTATGTGGAACTGTATCATTTTACGACACTAATTGCTAAAGTTGATTTTAGGCTGGATTATTTTTAGAAATTAAATACGTGTGAGAGCAAAGCAACTAGGTCCCAATTCCCAATTTATAATTCCCAGTTTCTATATGTACATCTGGGTAATGGAGGGTTTAGATTATAATTACGAATGGTACTTTGATGTGCAAGTTTCTAATTTCAGTTGATTTTATTTTTTCTAATGGGGTGTTAAAGCCTCCCCCGCCAAATACAAGGGGAACCTATGCTTTTATGAGCAGTAGATAAACCCCTTTCACTTAAATTTTTGTTGTTGTTAAATAATTTATTTTATTTTATTATTATTTTCTAACTTGCTAAATCCCTGCCATCCTGGTAATGTGACTGGCAGGAATAGTCTCCAACCAATTATTTATATTAATCAATTTTTTAAATATTTATAATATTATTGGCTAATTGACTGTGAAGTTATTGGTGTAAGTGGCGCGGAGGGGACGCCCCAAGACCTGGGAAGACATGAAAGACTTGAAGCTAGTTCGGCAAGAGTGTGTCCTTGCTCTAATGCTTTGTTATTCTTCCCTGCAGGAGTTAATGAAACAGCTGAATATGATTCAGGTAAGTGAGGATGGGCTAGAGCCTTCCCTCCACGCTTCAGTTATGACTTAGCTGAGGGACACACTTCCTCTGTGCTGGCTCTTAAAAAAAATGCAACTGACTTTGGTCTAAACCTTTTTTTTTTCCCCTTCTAATTTCCCTTGTGATTTCTTCTTTGACTCATTTGTTATTTATGTCGTGTTTAATTTCCACTTTTTGGTGAGCTTCCCAAACTTCTTTCTGTTACTCATTTCCAATTTCATTCTGTTGTGGTTGGAAAACATATTTTGTGTGAATACCATCCTTTCACTGAGGCTTTTAAATGGTCTATCTTGGAAGATGTTCGCCAGGCACTTGAGGACAACATGTACTCTACCACTATTGAGTGGAGTGTCCCGTCAAAGTGTCTGTGGGATCTATTGGTTGAGAGTGTTGTTCTAGTCCTACTTCCTTGTTAATCTTCTCTTTTTTTTAATTTTTTAAATGTTTATTTATTTTTGAGAGACAGACAGAGAGACAGAGAGCTGGGAGGGGCAGGGAGAGAGGGAGACACGGAATCTGAAGCAGGCTTCAGGCTCCAAGCTGTCAGCATGAGCCTGATTCAGGGCTCAAACCCATGAACCACGAGATCATGATCTGAGCTGAAGTCAGATGCTTAACTGTTTGAGCCACCCAGGTGCCCTGTCCTTTGTAATCCTCTGCCTGATTGTGCTATCCACTATCAAAAGCCAAATATTATTAAACTTGCCAGCTATTCTCTTATAACTACATTTTTCTTCCATGCTGCCATTTTTGCTTCATGTAATGTGGGGCTCTGTTATTGGGTGCTTACATGTTTATAATTGTTATATCTTCTTAGTGGACTTCACCTCCAGAAGTATTTTTGTTTCTTTGTTTTACACTTGATTTTGTTTGATTAATATAAACCATTTCAGCTTTCTTAGGATTGCTGTGAGAGTCATGTACCTTTCTCTATCCTTTTATTTTCTACATATTTGTATCCTTGAATCAAAAGTATGTCTTGTGTAGACAGCATATAATTGTATCTTTTTATCCAGTCTGACAGTTTCTGATTTTTTATTGGTTGTTTCATGTGCACACAGGTAATGTTATTATCTATATGGTTGTGTTTACATCTTCCATTTTACCTTTTGTTCTCTATGTATCTCATATTTTTTGTTCCTCTTTTACTTTTTTTTTTTTCATTAAGTGGATATCTTCTAGTGTATCATTTTCATTTCTTTCACAGTTGCTATTTATTTTTTAGTTTTCTTCGTGGTTGCTCTAATGTTTACCGTGACATCTTAACATGAATCTTCTTCGGATTTATATCTGAATCTTTCGTTGTTGTGATATATAAAACACATACAGAAAAATTCATGCTAATTCACAGCTTAATAAACCATTATAAAGCAAACCATTCATGTAAGCAACGAAAGATACCTTCTGTGTGACCACAGAATGGGTAAAACATGGCTTACCTCCCCAGTTAAAGCTTCATCCCGAAAGGTGGGGAATCTAGGGGATTGTAGCGAACCTAAGTCAGTCTCTACTTTCCCCAAGAATGCAGATGCTGTGCATTTTTTCTGCAATTACGAAGAGAGCCGAGGCAAATACCTGGTCGATGTGGATGGCAATCGGATGTTGGACCTTTACTCCCAGATTTCCTCTGTCCCCATAGGTAAGAGCTGGGAAGCCCGCCCTCGGATGTACCTCTGCTCTCCATTAGTCATAGCTGTCCCGACTTTCGTTGCTCCCTCCAGAAGGCACATCCCTGTGTGTTGCCAGACACTTCCCTCAAGGGCAGAGAAAAAGAACAAGTCATGGGTAGAGAGTCTGTTACAGGGACTTTATTTTTTTTAATTTTTTTTTTAATGTTTTATTTATTTCTAGAAGAGAGAGACAGCGTGAACAGGGGAGGGTCAGAGAGAGAGGGAGTCACAGACTGAAACAGGCTCCAGGCTCTGAGCTGGCAGTCAGCACAGAGCCCAGCACGGGGCTCGAACCCACAAACCGTGAGATCATGACCTAAGCGAAAGTCAGACGCTTAACCTTAAGACTAAGCCACCCAGGCGCCCCTGTTATAGGGACTTCAGATGTCTTCTCTCATTTACTCTTCCTCGAAACTCTGCAGGGTGAATATGTATTAATACCCCCATTTTGTTGATAGATAAGCAAAGCTCCGAGAAGAGATTGATGCAGCTTGCAGGGGAGGCACGGCCAGGACATGAACCCAGGTCTGCGGGACCACAGCCTCCAAGGTCCGCTGTCTTAGGTTAGGTCTCTTGGAAGAAGAGCCTGAGGCAGGCGCTCTGTGCAAGTCGCTTATTAAGGGCACACTCTCAGGAGACCAGGGAGAGAGAGAAAGGCTAAGAAGGATGAGGTTTCAGCCAGAGACTAGCCACTGCCTGATCCCACAGTAGGGGAGAGGGGGTGGCCTCTGGAGCATGAATTGCACCCAGATTTGACCCCAGACTGTGCCAAAGAGGCTGACCTTTTTGTACCCAGTCATTGCCCATTAGCTGCCAGCAGGAAGGGCCTGGCTCATCTTTTGGGCAAAGGGGCCTCCATTCACCAAGGAAAGATTTCCAGAGAAAAAGGAGACTGGAGCCATTCCTGACCCCCAGGAGGGCAGCTGGGAGAGGGGTGGCTGCCCAGTCAAAGTGAGCAGGGAGGGGCACCGGCAGCGTCTGCCTCACCAGGGTCACCTCTGGCTCGCTGCTGGAGGAGAGTGCGGCACATGTGGGGCGGATAGGGCTGACTGTCACACACGCAGGTCTCTGCTGTGCTCAGTGGTCTGTGGGCTGAGCCTCTCGTCTGGTGAAGCCTGCCCCTTCGTGTGTGATGCCAGCCCCTATTTATTTCCCATTAAGATGCGATTAGATGCTATGGTGACTCATTCTTTTTGGGAAGCCTGTCATTCAGAAGTGCTTTGGCCTGCGAGGGCGTCCGGGGTTCTGTGATTTGCACAACCCTGTCCGTGTTCTGTGTCGCACTGGAAGGGCCTGGCCTGCAGTTCTCAGGGTCAGGTCCTGGCTCTGCCACGTAACGGCCACGCGCTGCAGGCCATCCTCTTCCCAGCTGACTCCCCATCTTCCCGGCCTCCCGAGCCCCCGAGGGCCTCCCTCACTTCTCCAGCCGGCCACCCAATGCACAGGGTCCTGGGGGATCAGGCCGGCACAAGGTGGGAAACATTTTCCTCCCCTATTTCTAGTCTTCCAGATGGGTTTTTCTAACTAGTAACTGTGCCAGGCACGCTGCTAAGCGCCTATAATACCAGGTCTTTCATCATTGTCTCCACCTTAGCCACGGGGCCGGGTTTCTAGAGGCCACGGGGTTTCTCCAGCGTGTCCAGGGAGCCCGAGGGTTTGAACCAAACAGTCTCTGCCTCCTGTGATAGCTGCCTCCCAGAGGACACCCCTGCCCTGCCCTGCCCTGCAATGCGGAGGTCCCACAGCTTTGAAAGCCCAGGCGTGGATTTCCCTGATCCAGACAGACTGGCTTTGCTCTCATCTCTCCTGCAGCCACCAAGACAGGCTGCATGTGTGGCTTAATAAGATTGCCCTGGAACTGGCTTATCTACTGAGGCAGCAGAGTCTGAAAGGCCTCTGGCCACAATGTGGTTGGAAAAACCCCGCAGAAGCCTCCTTCCTTGACTACCTTGACTAATAGACACCTTGCAGCCAAGGGCCCAGCAGCTGCCAGGGCAGAGGCAGCTCACAGCTCTGTCCCCTGGGAGCCCAGGTCACCACCCCCCACCCCGCCCCAGCCCACCCTCCTCCAAGCACAGAGTGAAACTACAGGCTCTTCAAGTCCCTTCACTCTGTGATGCTGCCGAGGAGAAGGTCTGCCCTGGGTGGCTGGGTGGTGCCGGGGCCTCCCCTCCCCTCTGGGCTCACTGGCTTCCTCTGCCGGGACTGAGCAGAGGCCCCAGGCCCAGAGCCTCGGGCGGGCCTCTCTCCTTTCAGAGTAAGTATATTCAAACTAGAAAGTGAATTGGTTTAAAGAAAATAGGTCTCTCTCTCCTGTTGAGAAGGTTCTGGGCTCTCGCCCGTGCCCCAGATCTCCATGTCATGCGTTTGTTCACCTGGAGTCCGCTGAGCGGCACATGTGGCCCCTGCCTTGAAGGGTCTTCCAGTCCGGTCTCTGACCTCCGTGCCTGCACCCACTCAGACCTGGCCGCCCTGCGGGAGTCATGGCCAGCATGGGAACGAGGAACAGAAACTAGAAGCACAGGCTCTGAGGCTGGGGCGCTCTGGCCCCGGTGCATTTCCTTCCTTTCCGATAAAGGCCTCCGCTGACCGAGCATCTGCTGTGCGAGGCAGGCTTTCTCTTCGTTCAGGGCTCCTGGTGCGTGTTAGGTTGCTTTTGAGCCTGGAGATATCAGAGCGTCACTGTCAAGATGCGTGTGCTGGTCTATGTATGCGTGCAGAGGGCAGATTCATAGCAGGGCAGCTGCTGAGTCAAAGGGTATCCTAAGCCCTGCCGTGCTGGGCAATTGAGGCAGCAGGGCTCCGGGAAGCAGCAAACGTCCAAAGGGGTGGGGCGGGTCCCAGGGTTGCAGACTGCATCACTGACCGGCTCAGTTCCAGAGCAAACGGGTGTTGCGATTCAACGCCACTGGGAAGAAGGTGAGGGCCGTGGTTCATCACACCGGCCCAGGGAAGCACTCCCAGCCCTGGCCCCGAATGTGCCTTAACCTTGCCTTCACCGCCAGGGGCTCTAGCCGGGTGGGGCTCACACCCGGGCTTCAGGACTGACAAGAGATTTGCTGAAGGTTTCCGGCGGCAGCCTGAGTGATTCTGAGTCCGGAGGTCTGGGTGGACCCCAGGAGTGGGTCTTGTCTCCAAGAGATAACAAGGCCCCATGTGAAGGGAGGGGCAGGGTATGGGGGAGGGGCGCAGAGACCCTGGGCAGGCCTGTAACCAAGACCCTAACCGTGCCCCTCCCCATCTCCGCAGGCTACAGCCACCCCGCTCTCCTGAAGCTGGTCCAACAGCCTCAAAATGCGGTGAGTCCCGGGTTCTGCGATGTTGACGGAGGTCCAGAGGGTCACTGGGGAGCCTTGGGAAATACCCCATTCACTCACTCATTCATTCCACAAATGGTTATTATTAAGCACATACGATACTCTAGGCACTTGGAAGAGTGAAATAGGCGCCAAACGCCGCGTTCACCACTTCACAGCTGTAGTGTTGACAAGTCTGTGAGGCAGGTCCCACTGTCATCCCCATCCTACAGAGGACGCTGAGGCACAGAGACCTTTGTCCAAGGTCACACAGCAGGAGGAGGTGCTGCGAGTAAAACCCACAGGAGCTGGGGGGTTTGGGGAATTGAGGGGGCCGGGGAGGGGCAGGGAAGGGTTCCAGGGAAATGACCTTTGAGCCGAGACGCCTGCAGGGGAGGGGAGTGGGTGGGAGAGGAGCTTCGAGGCTGAGGAGCCAGAGGACAGCGTGGCCACAGCCAAGCCAGGGGCCTGACGGCGTGCAGTTTTAGGGACCACGCGGGCTGATGTCGGCCTCGGCAGTGGTGCCGGTTGCAGAGGTGGTGCTCTGCGGGGGGCCGTCCTGTGCACTGGTCGTGCCCTCCATGCCAGGAGCATCACCTCTTCAGCTGTGATAAGCAAACCCCGTCTGCAGACATTACCACATGCCCCGGGGAGGGGGAGTGTGTGTGGAGGGGCCCCGAGGCCAGCAGACGCAGGAGAGGGGCAGGAAGCCCTTGAGCAGCCACACTGGATCTAACAGTTGCAGAGACGCACATTCCCCCCAGCGCACTGCTCAGTGAATCGTCTCAATTCCTTATTACTTCCTTCAGGAGCCTTTTTAGACACGATTTTCTTCATTGCTCCCACCTTTACACAGTTTTTAATGCCGGTCACGTCTATTACTGCCGTGGCAAATTACCGCCAGCTTAGAGGCTTACACCACCGCCCGGGAATCTCGCCCGGGTTTTGTGGGCCAGGGGTCTGGCGCGCTCTGCACAGGGTCTCACGTCAGCTCTTCGCCGAGGCTCGGGGGCAGAATCTGCTTTTGCAGGTTGTGGGCACCTCACTCCCGTGGTTTCTGCGTGGTCCCTCCGGCCTCGAGTCCTTCCTCTCCGCCTTCCTCCCGTGTCTGCTCTTCGCAGAGGGCTCATGTGGTTGCACTCAGCCCGCCCAGAAAATCCAGAACGCTCTCCGTATCCGAGCTGATCAAGAACCTTAATCTCAACTGCAAATTCCTGGTCCCAGGACCAGCAGGCGTGGCATCCACGGCACCCCTCTGCCATGCGGTAGACACGAACCGTGTAGGCGCTGTGCCTCCCACACCACGGGGTGGGGGTGGGGTGGGCGGAGCGGTTTCCGCCCCTGGTGGGAATGCACGAATTGCACCTGGTCTCCCCACACCGCGCCGCCCTCTCCGGTTGCCGTTCCCCTGACGTCCAACGGCAGACGTGCGTTTCCTCCGTTCTTCACCCGCGGACGTGGAGCCGTAGCGGGCATGGCCCTTACCGCGCCCGGCGTGTTTCCCGCAAAGCCCGCCTGCCGGGCGTGTGTGGCCGCAGACCAGGCGATCGCACGGCTTCCGGGCCTTCCGTGTGCGCATGCGCTGCAGGTAACCGCCTCATCCAGCTGCCGACGGGCCCTTGGGTCGTGTCCTTCCAGAACGTGGGAGCACGTGTGCTCCGGAAAACACGTGCGTGCATGGCCACGGGACAGGAGGCCCAGCCGCCGGGCTGCCCGTGGCCGTGCACACGCGGGCGGCTTCAGCGCCTCCTGCCGGCCGGGCCCTCGCTGCACAGCGTGGGACTTCTGATGCTGCGCGTCCTCGCCCACGCCAGGTGTCCCCGAGGGGCTTGCGTGTCACAGGGGCCGTGACTCCTAAAAAGAGGAATCTAAGATAGGCGGGGATGGGGGGCAGGAGCGTTGGGAACCCACTCCCGGAGCTTAAAGTCCCTTTTAACTGGCAGAGTGGAAAGGAACAGGGAAGAACCACTTTTCCCGCCAGGGGAGGGGCTTGGGGACGCACAAGTTCAGGAGCTGCGGGAGCGGAAATGGGCGTCCCCATCTGAAGCCCCCCCCCGCTCAGGAGGCCCCCCAAGCTCCCCCTGAAGGCCCCCCCAGGCTTCCCTCCGAAGGCCCCCCCAAATGCGCCCGCCGAAGGTGCCTGACGCCGGTGGGGAGGCTCTGCGGGTGTGTTTAAGTTCGGAGCCTGGCTTTGTTTCGAAACGTTGTGCGGATCCCAGATGCCTCGGCAGTTGGTGCTGGGAAAATGTGTCAACAAACATGTCACACACATTTGCGGTGTCAGCTGCCTCCGGAGGCAGAATCGTCCCCGAAAACATGTGACTTCGGGGACTCTGATTTCAGGGGACGCCCTGCCCCCACCTGTGTCTGCCAGGAACCTGGGAGCCGCTTCATCCTCCCCTTCCTCCCACCCGCCTCTTACCTGTCACCCTGCCGGGACCGCCCTGACCTTGCGTCACCCCAGCGGCCTCTGTGCACCGGCCCCCCCCACCCCATCAGGCCCATGCTCACCCCTACAAACGGTACCCACTGCACCCAGAGTGCCCCCCACGCCCCCACTAAAGACGCAGAGCCCTTCGTGGTCTGGCTCCTGCTGCTTCAACCTCATTTCTCGCCGTGTGTTGAGTCATCGATTTATTGGTTGAATACCTACCGAGTGCCAGGCACCGTTCTGGGTGCTGGTGAGGCCATGGTCTGGATCCATCGGGACCACGGCCCATGCTGACGGACTGCAGTTCTGCTGCAGAAGCGTGGGCTTGGGCAAGGGAAAGGAGCCCCCCGGCACGGTCTCAGAGAAGTGGGGTGCACCCTGGGCATCAGGTTGGGGGACCACTGGCCAGCATGTTGGGTCTTCCAAATTCATGGCTGAAGGTGTACTTACTCGGTGATGATGGCACTTTGCCAGTGTAGGGCAGTAGCCTCTGTGGAGGTCCTGTGAAGGGGCTTATCAACCCCTTTGTCCCCCAACCACACCATCTTCACACTGTAGCCTAATCACTTGACGTGGCTGCAAAAAATAAAGCCCCAGCCCCTGGATCCAACTTCTGGGCTCCAGTTACAATTTCTTACATCACTTGTCACACCGCCCACAGTTTGCACATGATCATTTATCTGTACGATGATCAGTGCAGTCATTGCACTGAGTGGTGGGTGCAGTCTGACATCCCTGACACCGGGGAGCCCGGACCTGGTCAGGTAAGACACAGGCTGTCACCGTGAGGGAGGAGGCCCCACTTGGGCAGATAAGGACTCTGAAGACCAGAGAGGTTAAGTGACTTGCTCCAGGTTGCACAGCCACTTAAACCAAAGCCTGTCCTCTTTGCATAGCACTTCAGGACTGCTGAGCCTGACAGCAAAGATTCTAGAAACCTGTCCTCATTGGATTCCGCTACCCGGTGTCCCAGATATCTTCTGTTCTTAATGTCACGCTTTGTCGAACAGGAACACCACCCCCACATCTTTCCCAGTCCCAGATAGGCAGTCAAGCTGCCAGCCAGCCGTCCCGGCCGTCCCCTCCGTCAGCCGCTTCCCCCGCTACTGGTGATGGCAGTTCGCCTCGACCCTGATCTCACGGTGTGCTAGATTTCTTAGGAGCCCCACTCACAGCTCGGGGCCAAAGGAGATGCACGCAAAGGCCCCTAGAAGCCAGCCAAGGTCTCTGGGTCGCACCCAGACTCCTGTCCATCATCACAGCTTCGGGGGGAGGCGGCTGCCTGCAGTGCCTGGCAGAGGATGGAATCTGAAGTCAGCAAGCCTGATGTGAGCCATGCATCTGCCCCTTCCTTCTCTGTGTGACTCGGGGCAGGTCACTTGACCTCTCTGGTCCTCAGTTTCCCCAGTTGTACAGCCAGGAGGGTTACCTTCCCCAGCTACCTACCCTAGACTCACCCAGGTGGTCACAAAGCAGAAAAAGCAACATGAATCCGCCTCAGTTCCTAGCAGCCCAAGGCAAATCCGAAAGCCACCAAGGAGGACGCGTTCTGGGGCTTCCCGATGCAGTGATGGGGCTGTTCGGATTGGCACAGGGTTTAGTGCACTGACTGTGACTGGAAGAGAGGTCCCCAAGCAGTCCCCAGGCCCAGTCAGTAGCCCCCATCACCTTTTGAAGGGGTGATTCAGCTGTGGGTTAGTTTCAGATTTACGCACCAGGTGCAGAGACACCTCCCACCTGTCTTTCCCCAAGTTCACCTAGTGCTCACCCCCCGCCCACAGCAGCTTTGTCAAAACTAAGGCATTAACACGAGCATGTTGTGTGATACAGACCCCACTCAGATTTCCCTGCATTCCCAATAATGTCCACTGTCTGGTTCCCGGACCCAGTCCAGGATGCCACGTTGCATTTAGCACAGTCCACTCTCACAACCGAACCCAGTGGTGACCTTCCCCGTTTACCACTGTGCAGACCCCTCCCAGACCCTCCCTGGCCCCTGCCCAGGGCACTCTGGACCTTGAGGGGGAAGACGGCTCTAGTCTTACCCATCTGTGCTCCCATCTGTGTCTTTTCTAGAGAGATGGACACATGTCATTATCTATTTGTGAAAACCCCTAGGATGTACTACACCAAGAGTGACCCCTGATGTACACCTGGAACCTTTTTTAAAAAACACCATTTCGGGGATGCCTGGGTGGCTTAGTTGGTTAAGCGTCAGACTTTTGCTTAGGTCATGATCTTGTGGTTCGTGGGTTCAAGCCCCGCGTCAGGCTCTGTGTTGCCTGCCAGCTCAGAGCCTGGAGCCTGTTTCAGAGTCTGTGACTCCCTCTCTCTCTGACCCTCCCCTGCTCACGCTGTCTCTCTCTCTCTCTCCTAGAAATAAATAAAAACATTTAAAAAATTTAAAAAACACTATTTCAGGAGCACCTGGGGGGCTCAGTCGGTTAAGTGTCTGACTCTTGACTTCAGCTCGGGTCATGATCTCGCAGTTCCTTGGGATCGAGCCCCACGTCAGGCTCTGATCTGACAGCACTGAGCTTGTGTGGGATTCTCTCTCTCCCTCTCTCTCTGACCCTCCCCGACTTTCATTTCCCTTTTCTTTTCAAATTTGGAGGCCCTGGCTCCCTTGGTCCGTGTTCCTGCTCCCAAGTGACAGGGCAGGGCTGACTGGTCCTTGGCCACCGGACAGATTCACCTCCATGGCCACTGCGCCCCCCTCACTTTCAGGTTACCAGAAGGAAGTGTGTCCGTTTGGAATCAGGCTTCACTGTTGATTTCCTTGCAGAGGGAAATACATCTCTGGACCCACATCTATCAAAATTACAATAAAAACATCAACAGGTAGGGAGTCAGCCGATCTTTCTAACACTGCTTTTCTCACGCTCAGCCCATTCCGCTCCTGGAGGGCTGCAGTCGGCTCCTTGATCAGATCACTCTCCTGAGCCCTGCTCTGGTACAAATTCCAGGGCCACCGCTGCCCCTTAATGCCCTTTCTCCCCATGTTTTTCAAGTATAATTCACATGCAATAAAACGCATCCTCCGTGCTGTATAGCTCTGTGGCTTTCACCAAACACACAGTCATGTAGTCACTGCCAAAATGCAGGCACACCTGGACACCCGCGTTCACAGCAGCACAGTTCCGTTCCCGGGAAGGGGAAGAAACCAGAGTGGCTGGATAAACGAAGTGTGGTCTATGCATGCAATGGAATATTACTGAGCTCCTATAAAGGAAGGGAATTCTGAGCCGTGCTACAACACGGATGAACCCTGAGGACATGACGCTCAGGGAGAGAAGCCGGTCACCAAAGGGAAAACGCTGTGTGATTTCACTTTTGTGAGGGACCCAGAGTTGTGAGACTCACAGAGCCAGAGAGGTAGAGGGTGGTTGCCAGGGCTTGGGGAAGGAGGGAATGGGGACTTAGTGGTTAATGGAGACAGAATGTGAGTTTTGAAAGACGACAAAGTTCTGGAGATGGATGGATGGTGCACAATATCCTTAACACTACTGAACTGTATGCTTATAAATGGTTAAGATGGGGGGCGCCTGGGCAGCTGAGTTGGTTGGGCGTCCCACACCCGCTCAGATCGTGATCTCAAGGTTCCTTGAGTTCAAGCCCTGCATCGGGCTCTGTCCTGACAGCTCGGAGCCTGGTGCCTACTTCAGATTCTGTGTCTCCCTCTCTCTCTGTCCCTCCCCTGTTCATTCTCTGTCTCTCAAAAATAAATTTAAAACTTAAATAAAAAAGAAATTATTAAGATGTTGGGGTGCCTAGAGGCTCAGTCAGTTGAACATCTGACTCTTGATTTGGGCTTAGGTCCTGGCTTCACAGTTCATGGGTTCAAGCCCTGCTTTAGGCTCTGCTCTGACAGTGCGGACCCTGCTTGGGATTCTCTGTTTCCTTCTCTCTCTGCCCTTCCCTTGCTTATTCTTTCTCTCTCTCAAAAATAAACTTAAAAAAAAAAGAAGAAATGATTAAGATGGTAAATTTTATGTTACCTGTTTTTTCTTTTAACCACAATTTTAAAAAATCCAAACAGAGCAATTCATCACCCAGACATTCCCCTAAGCCCATTTGCACTCAGTCTCATCCCAGCCTCTGGCAACCATGAGCTGTTATCTGTCCCTGTGGTTTTTGTCTTTTGTAGAATGTCCTACGAAGAGGACCATACAGTGTGTAACTCTCTTCTTTTTCTTTTTAACGTTTTATTTTTATTTTTTGAGAGAGAGACAGGGCGCAAGCAGGGGAGGGGCAGGGAGAGAGGGAGACACAGAATCCGAAGCAGGCTCCAGGCTCTGAGCTGTCAGCACAGAGCCTGATGTGAGGCTTGGACTCTCAAACCATGAGATCATGACCTGAGCCCAAGTGGGAGGCTTAACCGACCCAGGCGCTCCCAGTGTGTAACTGGCTCTGGGCGCTTTCACTCAGCGCCGTGGCCTTGAGACTCTTCTGTGCTCCTTGTTACAGTGTGCATTGGTAGATTGTTCGTGTCTGTCGCTGCATGGTGTTCCATGGTACGCAGGGACAGTTTACTTATCTTTCCCCCGGCAGAGGGATGTGTGGGTTGTTTCAAGTTTGGGCCAAATAAGAAGAAAACCCACTGTAAACATGCATGTACATTCATGGCTTTGTGCGGATGTGCGCTTCCATTTCACGTAGGTAAATACCTTGGCATGGAATTGCCGAGTGATGTGTGTGTGTGTGTGTGTGTGTGTGTGTGTGTGTGTGTGAGTTCGACGATGTAAGACACTGCCCCGCTTTCTGCTCCCGGAGCAAAACTTGGTTCCGTCCAGCTGTGACCGGGTGTGCTCTGCTCCCTCACCTGTTCCTCCCATGGTCCACTTTTTGTTTTTTAGCCATGACGACGATGGATTGTTAAAATGATCGATATACTTTCATGATAAAATGAGATTGTAATTATAAAATTCTAACTGAATTCTAATTCACAGGAAGTTGCAAAAAACGGTATGACGTGTGCCCCCCCCCCCCCCCCCCCCGCTTCCCACAGTGGTAGGATCTTCTATAACTAGGGCAATACCACGACCAAGAAATGTCACGGGCCTTTTACACCCAGAGCAAGCCCAGGGAGTCTCGGGAAAGCGCAGGGAGGTGGGCCAATCCTGGCCCCTAGGACACACCTTGAGCCCCTATGAAAACACCTGCTGTGAAAAGCCTGGTTGGTCTGTGGTCGGCAGGGAGCGGGTCAGGGAAGTCACCCTCTGTCTCCTGCCTGTTGCAGAGCACTTTCATCAACAGACCTGCCCTGGGAATCCTTCCTCCGGAGAACTTTGTGGAGAAGCTCCGGGAGTCCTTGCTCTCGGTGAGTCCCCAGAGGACACCCCCCCCCCCCACTGCGGGAGGGTAGTGCTGATCTTGGGGAGGCCATGCCAGCAGGCGGAGAGGAGAGGCCCGAGATCCCTAAAGATTCAGGATGTCATGTGTCTCGCTCGGTCTTGCTCTTGTGCTGTTTCTCTCCTGAAGAGCATTTTCAGTGTTCCTTTCGAAGGAAAGGGGCTCCTTGTGCGCAGGAACAAAGGAACCAGGGGAAATGAGTATTTGTTCCACGATAGGAGCTTTGCATGTGATTCAGCCCTCTCCGACGGTTCGGTTTTAGTTGTTATGACGATTCAAGTCCTTCTGAATCTCAACTTCCCACCCATAAAACATGGGCATCTCAGGGGACGACGGCTGCACCGGGGAAGACAGTCTGGACTGTTCTTCTCCATCCCCTCCAGCCCTGGGGCCTTCCTGGCTTCTCCTCCACCCCCTGCAAGAGCCCCGTCCGCTCTCCTCAGTCCCACTGCTCTGGGAGACATTCCCGGTGCCCCCTCTCCAGCCTCCCCCAGCCCAGACTATACCCCCTACAAAGGCCCAGCTCCGGCCAGCGGGAGTCCAGACGGAGCGAGCCCATGAGCCCACGGCTGTTTCCCTCCCTGCAGGTGGCTCCCAAAGGAATGTCCCAGCTCATGACCATGTCCTGCGGCTCCTGCTCCAATGAAAATGCCTTTAAGACCATCTTCATGTGGTACCGGGTGAGGTTTGGGGTGTGAGCAAGTGCACACACACACAGGAGTGCACAGGGCCCCCCGCCCCAGCTCCTAGCCACACACGCACCCCTCGTCCAACCGTTCACCCTGCCTGGTCACCGTCAAAATCCAGAGAGGGTCACCGCCTGGACAGGGCTCTCCAGATGCCCCCTGGGGTGCGGTGCAGAGAGCAAGTTACCAGATGCGACCACACGGGTTCTCCTCGGCCTCACAGACCCCACCCTAGAAGCTCTTGGTTGTTCCAAAGTAATAACACACCTGCGTATCCATCTACTTATTTTGCCACAAGCGTGACGAACAATCTCATGCATTAGTACCCTAAGTGGAACGGTGGGCGTCTCTGGTCAGCCTTGAGAAATCACTTGGGGGGAGGGGTCTGGGTGCAGAGTGGAAACCCCTCGTCCCCCAGAGCGTCAATTAGCTTTTGTCTGTTCTGTTTGGTCAGAGCAAGGAAAGGGGCCAGACGGGTTTCTCCAAAGAGGAACTGGAGACATGCATGATCAACCAGGTGAGTGCAGCGGGCCCTTGGGTCTTGGCCGTGGTTGGGGGTGGGGGAGAGCTTCCACAGCCCCTCCGGCTGGCCCTGGCTGGCCCTGGCCTTCTCAAATAGGAGGTATCGTAGCAGCTCGGTGCCTGTAACCAAATTCCGCACCCAGACTGGGCGCCTCACATGACAGGCATGTATTTCCTCACAGTTCGGGAGGCTGGGGTCCAAGGTCAAGGTCAATTTGGTTCCCTGGGACAGAAACCTGGCTTCTAGATGTTGCCTTCTCATTGTGTCCTCACACTTCTGGGGGCGGGGGTGGGGGGGAGAGCGTGCGAGCGAGCAGGCACTCTGGGGTCTCTTCCTATAAGGACACTGATCCCATCACAGGAGCCCCACCCTATGACCTCATCCAACCCTCATCACCTCCCAGAGGCTTCTCTTCCAAACATCATCACACTGGGGGCGAGGGGGAGAGGGCCTCACACGGGGAAGGACACAGACGTCTGTCCATACCGAGGGGCATGGGCTGAGGGGAGTCCCCCCTGACCATCATCAGTTTCCCAGGACACCTGCCTGACTTTGACTAAGGAGCCTTTAGTGCATTCTCTAGAATAATCTAAAATGTCAACACAAAGGTATGTACAAGGGTGTTCACCCCACTGGTGTTTATAGTCATGATAACCAGAAAAGATTAGAAACCCACCTATATAACCAGCAACAGAGAAAGAGAACTTAAATGTAGGGGTTCCAAATGGAACCCTAGCAGTTCACAGAGGCAGCAAGGAGCCCAGTACTGGAGGCAAGGGGTCGAGATGGGTACATCCCAAGCTGGCCAGCGCACTTCAACCAGAGCAGACCTGTCCTCCCCCATTCAGCGAGCCACCCCCCCAACTTACGATTTGGACAGAAATGTCTGCTGCTTAAAAAAAAAATCGAGAGACACAGAACTCCATTCCCCTGCATACGTCCACGGTATTCTTCAAAAATAGTCACAAAGGGTTCTTGGTCTGGGCAGACACATGCTGTAACTTAGTGAAAACGGTGGAATGTAAATTGCACGGTTGCTGTGCTGTCATCCATGTGAATAAATGCGCAGGAGATCACTGGAAGGAACCCTCACATGTTTACAGGGCTAGCCTCTGGGTGGGAAGATTGGTTTTTTTCATGCTTCCTTAAATGTTTCTGTTCCTAATCCGCCTCTTGCGGGCACATCTACCCAGCCCTTTCTCTGTATACATACACACCTGCGGAAACGTAATTATTTTCTTCTTCTGGCCATCTTTAAAAACACTGGATGGTGCCCTTTCTCTTTCTCATCTGATACCCATGGACATTCTACTCCATCAACACTTTTAAACCCCTTTCCTCACGTTTTAGTGGCTGCATTCGGGGACAAACAAGGAATATGACAGGAGGGTATTCGAGCGTTTGCTGGGTGGGGGGGGGGGGTTCCTGGTGCTCCCGGAGGGTCTCAGGGACCCAGAGGAGATCAGCCAGCCTGAGAAAACAGGCTCTGGGCGCCCTGGTTGGCTCTGCGGTGGTGTCCGCGGTAGTCGGCCTGAAGCAGCTGAAAACCAGTCTCCTTCCCAGGCCAGGTGGAGGGTCAGGAAATACTGCAGCCGTGCCATTCGCTGGGGAGTCCCTGCGTCCCTGCTGAGCCCAGGGAGGCCGCCCGGCCCCTGCCCCCCAGACCCCTTCCAAAGCCCCGGAGCATGTCCGGCGAGACGGCCGTCCGCCTCTTGCCCCGACAGGCACCCGGCCCGCCGGGAGCGGGGGACGCCAGGGCGGTCTGGCGGCGGGAGTTTGCAGAGCCCGTAGACAGGGGCTGACAACTCAACAGCCGCAGCAGCCGGGCAGGTGACGTCAAGGCAGAAGGCAGGTGTCGGGCCCTGGGGCAGTGCGCTTGCCCAGCCTCCGTGCTTGGCCACCTGCTGTTGCCACGGGAAGAAAACGGGCCCAAATGATATGGAATTTGTGAGAAGCCAGAAGTTTAGATCCTTCTTTGAAATCTCTTGATTTAAAAAGTTGGGGGGCACCTGGGTGGCTCAGTCAGTTGAGCGTCCAGCTCTTGATTTCAGCTCAGGTCACAATCTCACGGTTTATGATATCAAGCCTTGAGTCTGGCCCTGCACGGAGTATGGAGCCTGCTTGGGATTCTCTCCTCTCTCTCTCCCCCACTCTCCCCTGCTCGCATTCCTGTGCTCTCTCTCACTCTCAAGAAAAATATATACACATAAAGAAATTAAATTTTTAAAAAATTTACTGGAGTTCCTGGTTGGCTCCGTCAGCAGAACATGTAAACTCTTGATCTCAGGGTTGTCAGTTCAGGCCTCGTGTTGGGTGTGGAGCCTACTTAAAATTTAAGCAAAAAAGGTTCAAAAGAATTTTTACTTTATTGACAAAACCGAACGTCTGTGGGCTGGCCTCTCTGGACCTGGTTTGCAACTTGTCCGTGAGAAGGGACTCCGGTTCTTCTGATGGACTTCTGTGCTCCTCTGGGTGCATGGGGACAACTGTACAGCTCCCCAGCCCTCACAGCGGTGACTGATGTGACCACTGTCTCTTGGTCCTAGGCCCCCGGCTGCCCCGAGTACAGCATCCTCTCCTTCATGGGCGCATTCCACGGGAGGACCCTGGGTAAGGAGGGGACGGTGTGACCCCGAGGTGGCTGTTAGAGTCAGAGCAATGACAGTAGGCGGTCTTGGATCTTCACCTTGGCACTTTGCCACATAGCGTCTCACCGACTCCACAGTTCGGGGTGGGGGGAGGGGGGGTTAGTCCTGCTCTGCAGACACAGAAAGGGAGGCCCAGCAAGGAAGGAACATTCTAAGGCCACCCAGGGGCAGAGCCAGGATTCCGTGCCTTCAAAGCCTGTGCTTCATCTGTGATGAATCAGAAAGCAAAGGGTGCACACGCATGCGCACGTGCACACACAGGCTCACATGAGGCTGCAGCTTCACGATGTTACAGGAGCCGCAGGCAGCGGGCTTCCCTGGGCGTTGCTAGACGTGGCCGGAATTGCCCGTGATCTCCGTTCCAAAGACTGTTCCTCCTCCTCCTCCCCTAGGATGCCTGGCCACCACACACTCCAAAGCTATTCACAAGATCGACATCCCGTCCTTCGACTGGCCCGTTGCGCCGTTCCCGCGGCTGAAATACCCCCTGGAAGAGTTTGTGAACGAGAACCAACAAGAAGAGGCTCGCTGTCTGGAAGAGGTAGCAGCGGGCCCTGCAGACTTCCGCTTCCTGTCTCCGTGCCCTCACCGCCCCCCACCCCCGGGCCCAGCCCCAGGGGACAGCACAGAGTGCGCGGGACCCATGTGGTGCTCCCTGGGAGGGACGTAGGAACAGAGAGGCACTTGAGGAAAGGTACTGGGACACCTTGATTTTTCCACCCGGCATCCGTCACCCCACCTGTGGTACCGATGTCTGTGTGGAAGGTTCCTTGGGGGCAAGCCCGGAGCATATGGCACAGCCCGTAGGAAAAGTGCGTCCACAGGACCCTGTTGTCCCCCACTTCTCCGTCTCCTCCCAAGTCCTCGGGCTCCCTGGGGGCAGTAGTGGGGGCAGCAAGGACTGAGGACCCGGAGCCCCTGCTGCCGGGCCTCTGACACACCTAGCACCCCTCCTTCGATCAGGGCCAAATATTGGGGTTCCATGCTAGACACTGGAAGGATTCCGTTGCTGGGGAAGAGAAACCGGAAACTCCGCAGGTTTGGAGTTTGAGCTCCAGTGAGGCTGCTTTGCAGTCAGTCCCTGGCTAGCGCCCCGGGGAGCCTGGTGCAGCCCCGTGCGCTGGGGATGCGGAGCCACACGCCACACATGTGACTGCAGCGCATCTAGAAATCACGTTTTTGAAAAGTGAAAAGAAGTGGGTAAAATTAATCTTACTACCATTTTATTTTTTTAACATATATTTATTTTGAGGGAAGGAGCAGAGAGGGGGGTGGAGAGAGAGAATCCCAAGCCGGCTCTGTGCTCTGTGGCCCAGCGTGAGCCTCGATCTCACAAACCGCGAGATCATGACCTGAGATGAGATCTAGAGTCAGATGCTCGGGGCACCTGGGTGGCTCAGTCGGTTTAGCGTCCGACTTCGGCTCAGGTCATGATCTCACGGTTCGTGGGCTCAAGCCCCATGTCAGGCTCTGTGCTGACAGCTCAAAGCCTGGAGCCTGCTTCAGATTCTATGTCTCCCTCTCTCTGCCCCTTCCCTGCTCACATTCTCTCTCTCTCAAAAATAAACGTTTTTTAAAGGTGCTTTTCTGATTATTCTGTCACCGTTCAGTTAATTATTTTTCATTCGATTCATTAACATATCACTTATCTACCACCAAGTGTACTCATTTTAGCATCTAGTTCAAAAACTTTTAACAAGTAAATACACTCACATCACACCACTCCGATCAAGGGCATCTTTTCACTTCAGAAAGTTCCCTCTGGTCAATCTGAGAGTCAACCCACGACCCCCACCCCGCTTGGTGACACAACCGATATTGGATCCCTATCACAGTAAGTGAGTTTTGCCACAGATATTTAAACAAATACAGGTCACAGATTCTGCACAGAAGGGACGCTCCCACCAACAGTAACATCACACGAACGATGTAGGAGCGATGGCAGTACCACACGGCAGAGCTCCGCGGCCCTGCAGGCCGGACCCGTGCTGCGCGGTCTCATTCAGCCCTTCTGTGACCCGAGTCCTTAGCTTCTGTCCCCCAGGCACAGCGGCACGCTCACACATGTGGCCGCAAGTGGACGCCACAGTCATTCCCGGAGTGCACACGAACGTGTACTCAGCATCGTTTCGGGGGGTTGCGGAACCCACATCCCCATCTGCGGACGCCTCTCTAGAGCTTCCACCAGCCACACTGACGTCCCCCTCACCCCCACCCTCCCGGGAATGCAGGTGGAGGACCTGATCGTGAAATACCGGAAAAAGAAGAAGACGGTGGCTGGGATCATCGTGGAGCCCATCCAGTCTGAGGGCGGAGACAACCACGCGTCTGACGACTTCTTCCGGAAGCTGAGAGACATCTCCAGGAAGGTGAGTGCACGGGGCCCGGGCTGGATGGGGCTGGGGCTGCTTCCAGTTTGTTTTCCCAGAGCAGAGGTTAGCCGTGGGGTCCCTGTACGCATCCAGGTGGCCAGAGGCTGCCTGGCGGCCTCCCGGGTAGAGGCGTTAAAAAGTAGGGAGGGAGCAAGGGAGGGATTTTTTTCCCCAAAACTCGCTGCGGAAGCCACCTCCACCCGGCAGCGTCTGGGCCAGAGATGCCTGGGAAGTGGGAAGGCCTCAGCCTCCTCCCTTTTCTCTCTAGAGGCCCCGCCTCATCTCTCAGCCGTGCCCAGCAGGTACCAAGTGAGCAGCCATTGTGTTACTGCCGTGTGCCTATTTTAACGTCGTGCACACGGAACTGGCACGTGCAGCCAGCAAGACTGGCTGCTCTCGGCACAGAGCTCAGGAGCTAGCAGTCGGCGCGGGCAGAGCCGGCAGGCAGGCAGGGCAGCGCAGCCTGGAGGGCGCGTCTTGGCCTCTGCTTGGACAGCCAGCCAGCAAGGGAGTCAGCTCGCCGGCTCCAGGCCCGGAGCCAGATGCGGTGTCGCTGTGCTTTGGGGTTCAGGGCGTACTTGACGTCAGGGTTCTGTTCCCGCTCAGCAGTCTGAGGACAAGTCCAAGTTCAGACCTCAGACCCGCCCCCAGCAGAGCTGCCTGGTTTCGCTTCGCACAGCCCGGGAACAGGGGCTTGGCTCACAGGTCCGGGCTGGTTGGCGGCGCCGGGTGTTGATTTCCCTCTTCTCTCCCTTCCTGGGCAGCACGGCTGTGCCTTCCTGGTGGACGAGGTCCAGACCGGAGGGGGCTGCACTGGCAAGTTCTGGGCCCACGAGCACTGGGGCTTGGCTGACCCAGCGGACGTGATGACCTTCAGCAAGAAGATGATGACTGGAGGCTACTTCCACAAGGAGGAGTTCAGGCCCAATGCCGTGAGTAGCAGCCCCGCCCTCCACTCCTCGCTCAGGACCACTTCCTTCTCCAAACCAGGAGCTGAGTGGACACCTGACGGGCCACAGAGGGCTCCTGACACTGTTTTTACCAGTGTAATCAGCCGGCGGCAATGGTCGCCCAGCTGCCTCTGCGGCACGACTGGCTAGCAGCTCACTGTCAGCCTCCTGACTTCTGCGTGCACACGCAGTGTGCACACACACACACACACTCTGCATCGCTGCTGCTGCGGACTGAGCGCTTGCTCTGCGCCTGGCCCCATTCTTAGTATCCTCACGTGCTTGTTTTCCTTACCACAGTCTAACCAAGTCGGTATTATTTTTCTCTTCTAGTTTACTAATGAAGAATCATGTACAGAGAGGCTAGGCAAGGTCTTAAGGTCACACAGCCTGTTAGGTGACAAAGCTCAAACCTGGAGCCCATGCTCTAGACCCCCAAACTGTACTGCCAGATATACATAGGGGTACACACACACTCTTACCAGGGCCCCAGGATCCTTTCTTCTGCCAATCCTGCATGTCGTTTCTACCCTCAAGATTGCCTCATGATCCAAAAATCACTGCTGGAGCTCCAGCCATCACATATCAATTCTAGGCAGTAGGAAGGAAAAAAAGAGGGAAGGACACAGTGGCTACTTTCTTGTCTTTATAAAGCAGCTTTTCCAGAAATCCCACATTTCCATTTCTAACACTTTGATGAAGATCTGGTCAGATGGCCACTCCTGTCTGCAAGGGGAGCTGGGAAGTGTGTTTTAGTTGGCTGCACTGACACCCCGAAAATTCACAGAGGGATAAATCAGGTGGCCCTTGTGGGTCAGACTACCCTCAGTCCACTCCTGACTCCTCCACCTACGGGCTGTACTTTCCCAGGACGGGTCACTTAAGCTCTCAGAACCACGGCTGTCCCTCTATAACTCGAGGAAGTTCAGAGCCAACCGACTCGGGTTCCCTGGGACTGAGGGACCGTCCCCGGCACGGAGCCGCTTGGCCTCCCTGACGGGAGTGCCTGGCCGTGGGGTTGCTGTTCTGGAAAGAATGCAATGAGCCACGATTGCTTGTGGGACCCTCCCTGGCCCTGGGGGGGGCCCCACCGGGTTAGTTCCTCTCCTCCTAAGGGGGGACGGGGTGTGACTGGGTGGAGCGGGCCCCTCAGGGTGAGCCTGCGTGCCAGCCCTGCTGACACCTCATGCCCCCTTCCAGCCGTACCGGATCTTCAACACCTGGCTGGGGGACCCGTCCAAGAACCTGCTGCTGGCCGAGGTCATCAACGTCATCAAGCGGGAGGACCTGCTGAACAACGCCGCCCACGCCGGGAAGGCCCTGCTGACGGGGCTGCTGGACCTCCAGGTGCCCCTCCCCGCCCCCACCCTGGGCCCCCCCCCTCCCCCAGCGCAACATCTGAGCCTGTTCCCTGGGGTCTACCCCACCCCCATCCCCGGTTCCTGAACAGCTGACGCCAGCCAGGTCCCCACATCCGTCCTCTGAGAAGCCTCCCGACACGCCCCCCCTCGCCCTGTGGCCCCCCTCCCTCGTGGGTCCTGCCCTCCACATACTTACCACGCAGCAGCCCTGTGCAGTGGGAGACATGCCGGCCTCAGAAGGGATTTTCAGTGTTGTAGCAGCGAGACTGAGACGGGAGGCCAAGCTGTAGTGATGGGGTTTACTTTAACCCACTCTAGTCATAGTACGGTTTCAGCCTGTCACCAATAGAGGAGATAGGTCATGTGGGTTTTTATATTCCTTGCCTCTTAAAATTGTTTTAAATGTATCTTTATTTTTGAGAGAGAGAGAGAGAGAGGCAGAGTGTGAGCAGGGGAGGGGCAGAGAGAGAGGAAGACAGAATCTGAAGCAGGCTCCAGGTCTGAGCTGTCAGCACAGAGCCCAGTGCGGGGCTCAAACTCAGGAACCGTGAGATCTTGACCTGAGCCGAAGTCGGACACTCAGCACAGGCGCCCCCATATTCCCTGTTATACGAAGACCTGAAATGCAGCCTGTATCTCACACTTACAGTGCGTCTCCACTCGGACTGGCCCCATCTCAGGCCACGTGCAGATCCCGCATGGGACGGCACAGCTCTCTGTTATAACCAGTTGTCTTCATATGTATACTGCCTGACCCCGCCCACCCCCCCACCCCAACCCACGTGCACGCATGACTCTCTCGGACAGGGCGTGGGCTGCCCGGAGCCACGGTGCTTGCGGGACTGGCCCGTCCAGCCCAGGAGTTGGAGGACCTCCAGATGGCTGGTCACAAGGAGCCCCTCTGCCAGGGATCCGGAGGATCTAGTCACCCGTGACCTGAGCAGAGCCACCAAGGGGTGGCGGCAGCGGGGGCGGTGAAGGAGGGTCGGTTGGCAGTAGTGACAGCTTCCAATTATTGAGTGCCTGCTGTATGTATGCCCTGCCTGTAACAGGACCTGTCATACACTCGGGTTAAGTCTGGCAGGGATGCTGTGAGCGATACCCCTTGATGTTCCAGTTTTGCAGACGAGGCATCTGAGGCATGAGCCGTTATGTTTGTCCAGTAGCTTCCATAAGGCAGCCCTGGGGTAGGCACCTGATTCTGGTGGACTTCAGAGTCTATGTTCTTTGCCAGCGTTTTCCTGTCTGATGTAATCAGGAACCTAGTAATAATCATTATTTCCATTAATTGAGAACTTGCTCAGTCTGAGGCCCGAGGGGGGCGAGGGAGCGGCAGGCACAGGACTTGGTTCCAGACACAGGGCAGTGGCAGGAGCTCTGGGGACCCCACCTCCACACCCCAAGGCAGGGATGTCAGATTTAACGAATCTGAACAGGACTCCCAGCTAAATTTGAAAAACAGCAACAGACTTTTTTTTAAGTATAAGTATATCCCATGTGCCATTTGGGACATACTTATACTAAATTATAGATTGTTGATCTGAAATTCAGATTTAACTGGGTGTCCTGTATTTTTTCTGGCACCCCTAGCTCACAACAGTTTGAAATTAGGAAAACCTAATTATCCTCATTTTCTGCACTTGATCTTAGCCAAAAGGCCGAGAAATTATATTTATCCTCATTTTCCGGATGAGAAAAGGGAAACCCGGGGAGGGGGGTGGCGGTGAGCAGCAGCCAGGAGGCCAGGCTTTAACCCCGGTTCCGCCTGACTGCAGAGACACTGCAGGGGTCACATGTGGCTGCTCGAACAGCTGAGGCCTTCCAGTGGGTGTGGTGCAGGGGTTCTGCGTGGAGTTCTTTTCTCTTCTCTTGGGCTGGATTCAGACTTAAGCTGGCAGCTGGGCGGGGTCCAGGTATACACGGCAGGCGTGGACGTGTGCCCCTGTGACTGCCCCGGCACAGCAAGGCCCAGGGCTGCTAGAGCGCCGGAGGTGTTTTCTCTGTAGGTCTCTTAAATGTCCCAGTTACTGCCACCCATCCTGAGTCATGAGCACGGGTGCTGGAGGGCCAGGCAACTTCAGAGTCCCCTGCTTTGAAGAGGGGGGTGCATGGTGTTACCCAAGAGGTTTCAAGATGCAAGACGGTGCCACGGTAAGGGTTCTGCGAAGACATCCCAGAGCATCCCAGAGCCAACCCGTGGCAGCCCCACTGGCCCATGTAAAGGGATGGAGACCGTCGGGTCCCTAGCAAGGCCTCACAAAGCCACAGGCAAGGGGGAGTTGGGGTTACAGAATACCCGAAAAGAGTGGGTGAAAGAGAAGAGCGCCTGCAGGGATGGGGCAACAGTCGAGGCTCCCCCGTGTGGAGGGGAGGGAGGAGCTCCACGTCCCACACCGATTAATCAAGCCAGCGGCCACTAGACACGCGCGCATGTGTGCGTGTGTCCAGGCGTCTGAACAGATGAGACCTCGTCCCCAGAGACCACACTCGGCTGGAAGAGAGGAGCGTGTTCCGAGTGCTGGCTCCCAGCACCCAGCAGGGGCCAGAACAAGCAGAGGGAGTGCTGGAGCGACTTCTGAGCCTCAGTTTCCCCACCTGCACATCTCAAGTAGTCCCTTCTCCGCTGGTGGAGTAGGATTCAAGTCCACGAGTGGCACATAGATGGGCCTCTGTTGCCACCGGAATGTGGCTCTGTGTCCACTCTCTACCACGGGGCTGCAGCGAGATGACATTTGCCCCCCAGCTCTGCCCCCACTGCCCTGGAGTCACTTGGGCTCATCCAAGCCCTGGTCATTGTCCTCTGCATGAACAATGGAGCAGGGAAGGACCAAGCTCTTCCACGCCAAGTGACCGTGTTACTTCCTCAGGCTTCTGGAGCACACGAGCACAAACTGGGTGGTCTAAGTCAAGAATTCATTCTCTGGACACGTGGGTGGCCCGCTCGCTTTGGCGTCTAACTTTGGCTCAGGTCATGATCTCACAGGAGTTCGAGCCCTGCATCGGACTCTGTGCTGACAACGCAGAGCCAGGAGCGTCTTTTGGTTTCTGGGTCTCCCTCTCTCTCTGCCCCTCCCCTGCTTGCTCTGTGTGTCTCTCTCTCAAAGGAAAAAAAAGAATTCATTTTCTTACCATTCTGGAGACCACAGGTGTGAGATCAAGAGAGCAGTGTGCATGCTGACTGGCTGGAGGCTTGGGCAGGGGAGAGCCCATGCCACGTCTCTGTCCCAGCTCCTGGTGGCCCGCAGGCCTTGCGTCCTTGGGACCACGGGTGCCCCATTCCAGCCTCTGCCCCCACTGTTCCCCTGGGTGCCTGTGTCTCTGCCCAGATTTCACTCTTATAAGGACGCAAGTCCTTGGAGTTAGAGCCCACCCTAGGCCAGCATGACGTCCTTTTAACCTAATTGCATCAGCAAACTCTATTCCAAAGTAAGGTTCTCTTTGCACGGTCCAGGTTGACCTGAATTCGGGGAGGGGGCACTGCTCAGCCCAAGACAGCTCCCACCCTTAGACCCTGCAGTGAGGCTGAGCTGCTTCTAGAAGAACCACCGCTTTTCTAGAAATGCACTGATAAGATGACTGATGTGTCCTGAGCACCTGCCCGGTGCGAGGCCCTGCACTTTACGCTGGGATCTCCTCTCAGTAAATCCCCACCGTGGCCCCTGGGGGGCAGTAGCATTCACATCCTTCAGTTTGCAGAAGAGGAAACTGAGGCTGGGGCCCCTTACGTGACTGGCCCATGGGTGTCCAAGGCAAAAGAGGCAGAGCAGGCTTTGAACCCAGGACTGGAGGTCTCCAGAGCCCAAGCCTGTGACCCCGTGGCCGTCCTGGGCACCCCTGCAAAGGCCCGAAGGCCAGACCCTGGGGAGCATTTGAGGGACCCCCCAGCTGCTGCGCGGGTGACGGGCTGATGCCGCCCTGTTCCCCCGCTGCAGGCCCGGTACCCCCAGTTCATCAGCAGGGTGAGAGGACGAGGCACCTTTTGCTCCTTTGACACTCCGGACGAGTCCATACGGAATAAGCTCGTTTCACTGGCCAGAAACAAAGGTAAGGAGGCCGAGCCCCATCAGGAGCACCACTCACCTGGTGCGGGCGCTGCAGGGCAGGGGTCGGCAGGGGACTGGAGACCGTCCGGTCCGAGTGCTCCTTCTTGAGAGAGCGAGAGCGTGGGCAGTGGGATTTCCTTATGCATTTATTCACTCGATAGATGTTCAGTGAGAAGGTGAGCGGCAGTGACACAGGAGAGAATAATCAGGAGCATCATCTAGAGCATGGGGCCCCTCCTTCACGGCGCTCCTGCTGTGCCAGGAAGGGGACGTGGAACGCAGCATGTCACAAGCCATCGGCTGCACTTGTGCACCCTGGGAGGGAGGGAAAGGGATAAGGATGGAATCGCTGGGGGAGGGGTCGAGACGAGGAAATCGGGGGAGGCTTCCTTGGGGAAAAGGCATTCTTACCTGAAGTCTGGCCACGTGAGCAGCGGTTGGCCAGGTGAAGGTGGCGAGGGGCATTTGGGTGGAGGGAAGGATGGAGCCAAGAGGCACGGAAGCCTCTGGAGAGAAGTGTGAGGAGGGGCTGCCGGGTGCACCTTGTGTTGACCGTGGAACGCGGGCGAGAGGCCGGGCTGCTTCCTGGGAGCCGTGGGGAGAGGCTCGGTGCCGTGAAGTGGGGCGCGCAGAGGGCTGATGTGTGGCAGGCACTGCTCCGTGCCAGGATCCCCGAGGGGAAGGGGTGACGCGCCCGCTCTTCTCAGTGACAAGCAGAGTTTCGGAGGCGCGGTGAGACCTTGGCCAGGGCGCCCTTGGAGGTCAGCAGGTCCGTTGTTCCCGGGGGACAGCCTGCCCTGCGCACGCGCTGCCCCCCTGCACCTGTGCCACTCACCCCTTCGCTTCCCTCCCCCCTGGCCCCGCCACCAGCTCCTGGAAGGCAGGGGCTTTGCCTCTGGACTCGGATCCCAGTGGGCCCCGTTCAGGGTCAGCAGAGCAGGAGTTGGAGGTGGGAGGGAGGGAGAGAAGGGGGGTGTGGAAGGACAGATGGACAGACGGAAGACACCCCGCGTGTGCGCGCGTGCGGCTCTGAGCCCAGGCGGCTGACGGCCCTCCTGCGTCCGCTTTCAGGCGTGGTGCTGGGAGGCTGCGGGGACAAATCCATCCGGTTCCGCCCCACTCTGGTCTTCAGGGACCACCACGCGCACCTGTTCCTCAATATCTTCAGCGACATCTTAGCCGACTTCAAGTAAAGAAGCCATCTCCACCGCGCTCTGAGACAGCCCGATCTCAACAGTTGTCAAATCGATTAGTTTGCCTAATTCATGTTTTCACTTAAAGGATCAGAGGCGAATGCGCAACCTGAAGGGTTCTTTGCGGGAAGGGGATGTTTGTGGTGGCTTGGGGTGGGGGACAGGGGGAGGGGGTGGGTGGGAGGCGCTGGCTTTGATTCTCCTCCCTGCGGAGCCGATGATGCACATTGGTGTAAGCCCAGAAATTCTGCTTGAGCCCTGGACGTAGTCTCGGGCACGGCCATGAGGTTCTGGCCGTATATCTGCCCACCTTGACCCCAGCTGTTTCTTTGGAAGCCAGGCAAGGGAAATGACAGCTGGCCCCGGGACTTCTTGGCTCCGGTCCCTCTCAAGTGCCATATTCTGTGACTGAGGATGCTGAGCCCCCCACCCCGTGCAGACATGCTCTCCCGTCCCGCCCGGCCCTGCTGCTCCCGGACCAGGTCCCACGCACAGTTCGGTGAAGGACAGGACAGATCAACGAGGGCAGGAGAGGGAGGACATTAGCAGTGAGCTGCGGTGTGGGGAGGGGTCCTGTGGCCTCCTTATGACCGGGGCCCCCTGCTCAGCGCAGGGACCCTCTGAATTGTGAGTCCTGTCCTTGACGGGCCGTTGCCTCGGAGAATCTCTGTGCCGGCATCACTGGCCCTTCTTACTCACCAACCTTGTGTTCCCCACGCTCTGTCCCCTGTTAAAGTGAACCCAGACGTCTGGCCGGGGCGGGGCGGGCGGGACTGCTGCCTGAGCATCGAAGGGGACACACGGGAGCCAGAAGGTCAGAAGCACAAGCGCGTCTCCCAGGAGCCGCAGAGCCCCCCTCCTCCTGTCCCCTCCGGGACATCTGGGGTCCGGCCTGCGGACCCCTCACCCAGGGGCTCTCTCTCTAGCTTCCTCTGTCCCACCCCCGCCCCGCTTCTGAGCGGCCCTGGCGGGGACTCCATCACAGGCAGTTTCTTCTCGAGGGAAAAGCATGGCGAACGCCAGGCGCCAGAGCTCCCGCTCATTCAGGGCGGCTTCCGGATGAGAGCCTCTCCTAACGCAAAAGAGCGTGCAGACTGCTGGGCGGGTGATAGTTCAGGGCTTCGTTGGCCTGTGGCCGAGGCCACGGGGCCTCTTCTGGAGGCCAGGCGTTCTTGGGACTGATTGGACTTCAGGTGCCCCTAAGGAGAGCCTCTGGCTGTCCCGCAGCTGTGCTGCTCTTCCCCCCGCCCCCCTGCCACCCCGGCTGCCTGTCGCAGGACACGCGCCTGTCAAGGTTCCCCGTTCCGCACTTTGCTCTTTCAATAACTAATCGGCCAAAGAACTCAAAACGGTTGGTTTTCTTGGTTTCGTGTTGCGTGTCAGGCTGTTTGCTCCACCAGCAAAATGGAGGCATCTGCCTCTCTCTCTTGCCGCGTGTGGCTCATCTGCATACTCGTCTGTTTATCTGGTCACTCCTTCATGGAGCTGCCCCCACGTCCCCACCCCAGGCCCGGTGTGAAGCACTAGCAACACAGGGGGAAATACAGCGTGGTCCCTGCTCTCGAGGGACTCACATGTCATCCGGGACAACAGACTCTTAACCAGCAGTCAAAGCAGAGGGGCAGGCACTGTGCCGGGAAATCAGAGGGAGTGCCCATCGGGGGCGGGAGGCTTCAGGGGGAAGGGACATTCAAGCAGGGTTTTGCAGAACGAGCAAGAGTTCTCCAAGCAGTCAAGGCGAGGAAGAGTGTCACAGAAAAGGGAACAGTGCGCTCAAGGACAGACACATCAGTCCACAGTCTCGCAACTTTCACTGGGGATCCACATCCCCACTATCCCAAGATTCAAGACCTTGCTCAACAAGCCAGATGCAAACCAAACCATAATTCATTTATTGGCGTAAGGATGCTTTCTCTGGAGAACTTTCACACTGGGTGCAAATAGTAAGGTTCCTGAAGCCCCAAAGGCCTCCGAGCCAGGCACGACCCAGAACCTGGGCACTCTCGGTGGAGTCAATGCCCAGAGACATTTTGTTCTCTCCCACGGGGCAGTCGTGGAGAAATGAAGTCGTTTTGTCAGGGAAGTCGTTTCCAGACTTACTCACTCCTTACCAAGGGAAGTTACTTCTCATGAAACTCTTTAAGCCATTTAGCAACACGTTCCTGTTGGCTCAGGGCACGTTAGGAGTTCTGAGGCATCGTCTCTTCGGGGTGGGGGCATCTAGCTGGAAGAATTTCAAGGAAGAAGACACTCAGCAGGGCTCAAGATGGTAGAAGCTAGGGAGAGGTGCGTAAAAATGGGGAGCCCTGCCGGCAGGTTGCTGTCCGGGGCTGGGCCCGCGGAGTGCGTCTGTGGCCGACGGCCTGGGAATGAATCCATCTGCCATCAGTGCTGTAGACTTTAGTGACGATCTCTAGCAAGTGTTTTACAGAAGACAAGGTCCTGTAATAGCAAGTCTGAGCACATCCTCACTTTTATTATAAATGTTTTTTTATAATTTTTACTGACAGTGACCATGCAAAATTGTGCACATTAAAACATCTTGTGTACCTATACCTATCTCTATACATATATATAAATAAACGTACACATATATCAGCTCATGGTAGACAACCATAGCTAGGGAGCATCGCCCACTTACGCATCCACATCTTGTTTACAGTATTCTGTTGACAGTGCCAATAATGATAGAGAAGTTAATGTGTCACGATGTAACTGATAATGACCGTACGCACAATTTCGTGAAATTAAATCTGTTTCCTGTGTTAATCAGCGTTCTTAAATTTAAAAAAAAAATTTATAATGGAAACATCAGAGTGAATGTGTCCTTTTTGGGTTTGGAAACAGCTTCATTAAATACTTGACAGGCACACAGTAAGCACCTACTGTATACCTCTTAGGGAGGTCTTGCCGGGGCTTATGCTCTACCTACACAAGTCGGCCTGGATTCAGGGCGCACTGTGAGGCCATGATTTTCACCAGACGTCATGAAGGACTTACCGTGTGACGGGGGCACAGGGAGGGACGAGCCGCAGCCCTTATGCCCGGCTCACCTTCCGTGGGGCAGAGGTGACAGCAGCCCAGCGCAGGGACCGCAACACGGGCAGACCCTGGGTGCCGCCAACGCACAAAGGGCGGGCCCCGAGCTGGGGTGGAAGTTGGGTCCCCGAGTTTCCTCTTCAAAGTCCAGCAGGAACTGCACCAGCCACTCAGAGGCAGGACGGAAGGCACCCCAGTTCCGGGGGCACCGAGGCAGGTGAGGGCAGGCAGCCGCAGCGTGGGTCAGAGAGGGACGGCGAGAGCCACAGACTGAAGAAACGAGCAGGGATGGGCCCCCGACGACCTTGGGGCCGTGCTGAGAGGCTCGGGGTGTCCATGCAGGGGCGCAGGCACCGCAGGCTCCACACGCCGAGTGCTCGCGTGAGGGTCGGAGAGACCGAGACGCCAGTCAGGAGTGTCCAAGACCCAACCTGGACGGGGACCGTGGGCTCCTGCGTCTGTCAGCGGCCCCGTGTGGCTCTGCCTTCTCTCACCTGCAAAATGCATGGTTTCCCACGCCCCTCCCTCCTTGGACGTTCCCGGTGTCTATGAGATGATCGTGGAAGGCAGGGTTTACTATTACACGTGATTTTTAGGGGCGCCAGGGTGGTGGGCCAGTCAGTTCAGTGTCCGATTCTTGGTTTCGGGTCAGGTCTTGATCTCATGGTTTGTTGAGTTTGAGCCCCGTGTCTGCTTCTGTGCTGACAGCTCAGAGGCTGGAACCTGCTTCAGATTCTGTGTCTCCCTCTGTCTCTGCCCCTCCCCCACTCGCACTCTGTCTCTCTCTGTCTCTCAAAAATAAACATTAAAAAAATGTTTTTAATAATCACATATAGTAACAATTATTGTTTGTTGACCATCTTCTGTATGCAAGCAGAGGCTACATGTGCTGTATAATTTTCATGATGAACCTATGAGCTGTGTATTTGTGTGTCTACTTTTTTCTTTTTTTAATAATTTTTGAGACAGAGAGAGTGTGAGTGGTGGAGGGACACATAGAGAGGGAGACATAGAAGCAGGCTCCAGGTTCTGAGCTGTCAGCACAGAGCCCAATGCAGAGCTCAAACCCATGACTGTGAGATCATGACCTGAGCCAAAGTCGAACGAACGCTTAGCCAACCGAGCCCCCCAGGCGCCCTGTGTGTGCCCACCTTTAAGATGAGGAAACAAGCTCAGAGAGGTCAGGGGAACCTGCCCCAGACCACACAGCTTGGGAGCCAGGGTTTGAAACACAGACGTAGGAGAGACGACACATTAGTGTATAAACTGATGTGTGTGCGCAGTCAGCTTGGGATTGGGTGAAGGCAGGGGCTGTGCTCCACCCCAGGACCTTTCTCACAGCCAGGCCGACTGTCAGTCTGGGACAGGCAGTCTCCCCTGGTCGGCATCAGCATGAGCTCTTAACGTACCTTCTTAGAGTGGGTGATCGGAAGGCACCAAAACCTCCAGGTCACATACCCCTAGTTACAAACAGTCACTGTGGGGCCCCTGAGTGGCTCTGTTGGTTGAGCGTCTGACTCTTGATTTTGGTTCAAGTCGTGAACTGAGGGTCGTGGGATGGAGCCCCGTGTCAGGCTCTGCACTGGGCGTGGAGCCTGCTTGGGATTCTTTCTCTCTCTCCCTGTGCCCCTCTCCCCTGCTTGTTCTCATTCTCTCTCTCTCTCTGTCTCTCTCTCAAAAATAAAAATAAGTAAAGCCAGTCACTATTTCCTATTTTCTGTTCTCCTTCCACGCTGGGGAGGCAGGATACGGCAGTGGTGTGACCTAACTCTGCCGCTTTCTAGCTGGGTGGCCTCGAGTAAGTCCCGTCACCTCTCTGAGCCTCCTCTGCAAGATGAGCTTGCTAACAGCAATGCTAGCCTGCTAGCCTAGCACGTACCAAGTGCTTTCCTGGACCAAGCACTATTTTAGGTGTATCCAGGAGTAAGTCAATCGTCTCAACCCCCTCAGTTCTCTAACTGCCCAGGGCACCGGCACCCCCCGTAAGCTCCCACGCCGTGACGCACTTCTGTCAGCCTCACAGCTTCACCGGTCCCGTCCTAGGCAGTAAACCCACTTCCCCACGGAGTCCTGGAGTATATCTCGACGGTTAATCAGTAAGATGGATGTTTTGTCACCAGAGTTGGTACAAACATGGCCAGGTGGTACGGGCCCTGCCTGATTAATCAGGCAGGATTTTATAGTTGAATGCCACAGGATCAAAACAAAGTCATAAAAGTTGGACTCTGCCTGGGGTTCAGAGGGACCCTATTACTTTCCTTCTAGGGACTCACAAGTCCTGAAGTCACAGAGCAGCAGTAAAAGGAAAGCCCCAGCCCTAGCCATCTGAGCAATTTACCACCACCCCCCCCCCGCTGTCCCCACCCCTCCAAGCAGCTAAAGCCCCCCAAATCAGCTCTGGGGAATGCATTCGACATGGTCACTGAATGGTAGATACCTGGCCCCGCGACATGGAAGTCTCATCTGTGGTCACCAGCTCCCAGCTGTGCGTACCGCAAATGTCCCCAGCTACAGTTGACCTCCCCGTGGTCTGGGGGACCACGTCTCAGTCTGCCCAGGGGCCTTTGACAGAATACCACTGCTGGCTTCCAACCCACTTTCGAGCTCCCTGGGTGCAGACCGAGACTGGTGCCATACACAGAGGGCAGAGAGAGGCTGGAGAGAGAGGAGTTCAGTCCAGTGGGCAGGTGGCATGATTACTAAGCAAGGGGACTTGACTCGGATGGCTGCCAGATGAGGTGTCCACACCCAGCTGCCTAAGTCGGACGAGTTTATATAGAGGCCCTAAGTGGGCATGTCTGCCGTGCACGTGGTCCCAACCCCACATCACTATCTCAAGGTCCTTGGGAGCTTCCGGAAACAGAGAAGCCGAGTAGGACCTACATTCCAAGGACAGGGAAGGGGTGAGGAGCCTCCGGTTGCCCCAGACCAGCCTGAGGGCCAGTGGCAGCCTTGCCTTGTTGATGATCTCCCCAGCAAGCAGAGACTGGGCAGCTTAAACATTAAACACAGACTTCTCACACTTCTGGAGGCTGCAGGGCCACGATCGGTTGGTGGGGACCCTCGTCAGGTCTTCGGCCTTCCTTGGGGCACACACACACAGAGCGTCTTCATTCCTACAGGCCCCCATCACACCACGGGGACCCTAATCACCTCCCAAAGGCTCCATCTCCAAACACCATCACATTGGGGGTTAGGGCTTCAACATAGGAATTGGGGGGATGGGTACACATGGACGTGGTACAGACCACCCCATCTGCGCGGCCCAGGGCATGCACCTAAATTCTGCGCGGCCCAGAGCATGCAGGCGGGTCTCCGCGGACAGCCAGGAAAAGCACTCTAGAGGGGCCAGCATGGCCACATCACCGACGCCCTCCATGGCGCGACGGTTCCTAATGCCGGTCCAGCTTCTAAGGCCAGCGTGGGAATTCACCGTGGATTCACCGTGAGAGCTGACCTGAGAGATCTCGTGCTATTTACAGCATTTTTCACGTTGTAAGAGGCATGTTCACTGTGAAATCCTTTTTTTTTTTTAAAATCATTTCCTGTTTTATTTTTTTTTTTTAATGTTTTATTTCTTTCTGAGAGAGAGAGAGAGAGGCAGTGTGAGCAGGGGAGGGTCAGACAGAGAGGGAGATACAGAATCTGAAGCAGGCTCCAGACTCTGAGCTAGCTGTTGGCACAGAGCCTGACATGGGGCTCAAACCCACGAACTGTGAGATCATGACCTGAGCCGAAGTCGGACGCTCAACCGACTGAGCCACCCAGGCGCCCCCACTGTGAAATCTTAAAAACAGTATTAGAAGGTCATAAAGTTGGAGGTGGACGCCTTCCCTCCGTTCGGCCCACACCCTCACCCTCGACCCTCTTCCCAGAGGTAACCACTCTGAACTTGGGAGTGCACGTGGTTTTCACAAACCCAAGACCACACAAAACTCTACTGGTTCTCTGACTTGCTTTTTCTCCTGGTTGCGGTTGCTATGGTTACCTTTCCACATCAGCAGATACAGTTCAAGCTCATTCTTTTTAAGGGCCATGCAATATCCCTAGTATAGTTCTATGGACATTTATTCAACCGTGTTGTCTACTAATGAAAACTGTTTAGGGGCACCTGGGTGACTCAGTTGGTTAAGTGTCTGACTTTGGCTCGGGCCATGATCTCACAGTTTGTGAGTTTGAGCCCCAGGTCAGGCTCTGTGCTGACAGCTGGAAGCCTCGAGCCTGCTTTGGATTGTGTCTCCCTCCCTCTCTGCCCCTCCCCCCCTCTCGTGCTATGCCTCTCTCTCAAAAGTAAATAAACATTTTTAAAAAAAACTGTTTCAGTTTGTTGTTGCTGTTTGTTTTGCTGTTAGAAACATGCGGAGACTGTCTTCGTATGTCTGCTTCGGTATTTCCATTAGATTATTGTTTTGGATCTGTTGTCAAAGTGGGGGAATCACCGATCTATCCATCACCCGGACCTAAAGACGGCTCGCGTTTTCTGAGAAACTGGTTTATCATCTGCTGCACAGCTTCTGGGAAGGGTAGATCCCAGGCAGGGATTCTCAAAAGTCGAGGTGCCCTGGAATTACCGGGGAAGCATAAGGATTCAAACCCGCAGCATGTACCGGAATCAGCAGGGACCGAGCATGGGCTTTGTTGGTGTTGTGTTGCTGGTGTCGATTGGGGAGTTTGGGTGGCTCCCAGGGACGGCCCTCTGGGTGCCGCGGGAGCCCCTGGGCGGGCAGGGAACAAAGGCACGGATGATGCATTTGCTGTGTGCCCTCTGCTGGTACCGTGTGAGCAGACACGTCGGAAGGGAGGCTCTCATGCTGGTGAGGACGGGGGTCCCCCGGTGTGGTGACATGGGGCAGAGACTGTCAACCCAGGCTACATGCAAGAATCACTCTGGCAATGGCAATGCCTGGTCGTGGGCCTGGGCAGCAATATTTTGTATGTGTGTGTGTGCGCACGCGTGTGTGTTCTGATACTTGTCTTTATTTATTTTACAAAGTTTATTGTTAAGTTGGTTTCCATATAACACCCAGTGCTCATCCCCACAAGTGCCCTCCTCCATGCCCCCCTCCCCCCCACACCCATCAGTCTTTAGTCTGTTCTCAGCATTCAAGAGTCTCTCGTGGTTTGCCTCCCTCCCTCTCCCCCACCATTTCCCCCCCTTCTTCTTCCCCACGGTCCTCCGTGAAGTTCCTCCTAATCCTCCTGTACGTGCAAAACATATGGGATTTGTCCTTCTCTGCCTGGGCAGCAGTATTTTTGATAAGCTCCCCAGGTGATTCTGCACACGAAGCCAGAGCTGAGAACCTGTTCTTTAAGGGGGGGGAGTGGGGTCCAGGAAACAGTGTCCCCAGAGGAGTTCTCTGGTCTTTTCTGTCTACTAGAGTCTAGTTCAGAAACAGATTGAAATAGAGTAAACTTCCAGCCTGGCCGCATTTCAGAATTGGCTTCGAGCCTGTCAAGCACTCAGGATTCTGGGGACCCACCCCAGACAGAACTAGAATCTCAGGGGGTGAGGTTACCACTAGACCAACACCAGGGGCTATTGGAGTTAATTCTTTAATGAGGTCAAAGTCAAATCATCAATACTGCTTGAGCCATTTTATAGGCAAAGACTGTCTTTGGGGAAAGGGCTTCACAGTCTTTGAAGGAGCTGGTAAGCAGCTGAGGGAACAGTATGGCAGGAAACCAAGAGCTACGTTACCTGCCGAAGAGAGGAGGGGGTGGGAGGGGAGCCCTGTCTGTCTCTCCTTCAAAAATAACCTTCCCCAATTTTACCGACATAGAATTGACGTGTAACATAGTATCAGCTTAGGATGTACAACATAATGATTTACGCATGTATATACTGCAAAATGATTACAAGGTCAGTTAACATCAGGCATCTCACAAGGTAATGAGGTTTTTTTATGACAGAATATTTTTAATGTGTTTACAAGTAAGATGGTTATGTGTTACATGAAGCAAAAAGAAAAAAAAACCAATTCCAGGTACAGGATAACATCTGTTTTTAGAAAAGCCTGGAAGCATGGTAAGTTACCACCTCACACCCATCAGGAGGGCTATCATCCAAAAGACCGACGTGGAGAAGCTGGAATCCTTGTGCACGGCTGAGACAGATAAAAAAGTATGTGGCCGCTGTGGAAAAGTCTGGCAGTTCCTCAAAAATGTGCGCACACAGTCACCCTAAGACCCAGCGATTCCGCCTCTCAGCACATCCCCAAAAGAAGAGACTCGGATTTAGGAGCAGCAGCGCGGACGGCAGCGCTATTCCCAGCAGCCAAAAGGTGGAAACTATCAAAATGTCCATCGACGGACAGATAAGCAAACCGTGGTCTGTACACACATCATCCAGCCACGGAAAGGAAGGAAGCGTGCGCACACACTCCAGCACGGACGCCCCCTGGACACGTCATGTCAGGTGGAAGAAGCCAGACACAAACCCACAGTGTGTGATTCCGTTTCAAATCCACGGAGACAGAAGGCAGATGAGTGGTCACAAGGCCGGAGGGCGGGGAGCTGGGAAGTGACTGTTTTAACGGGTACAGACTTTCTCCTTGGGATGATGAGAACGTTCTGGAAATGGGCACACGTGATACTTGCACGATCTTGCAGGCCTACTTGATACCACTCAAGTGCACATCTAAAAATGGCCAAAAGAATCAATTTACATTATGTGTATTTTACCACAATAAAAAAAGACTGGCAGTCCCCACATACGACAGTTAGTCGCTGATTTCTGAGTGCAACTGTTAACGATCACGTCTTCCTCTTTATTGTTACGGGTTGTTGAACAAACATCTATTACTAATTCCAAGGAAGGGCAGCGCATAGAACTAGCTTTAGCTCATAGAAGAACACGCCAGAACACAGCGTGCCTGGTTTTATCCACCACAGAGCCTTCCAGCAGGGCCCCAGGTGTCTGCGTGGTGAGCACAATCCTGGCAGAGGCGCTGCGCTTGCCTGGCCGGCACCCTCCCGGCGAGGTCACACGGCCCACCTCTGTCTAGGCTTCTTCCCACTGCGGGGTCCCCCAGGGGGGCGGCACAGGGCTCGGGTCAACCCTACTGACTGCCAGCACGGTTTGCAGCACACCCTCGTCTTCGTACTGACCTTGACATTCACCGTCTACTCTCACACCCGTCTCAGGAGACAGGCAGGACTCTTCCCTTTCTCAGACGTGAAAGCCAAGGTTCGGAGAGGCTCGGGGACTCCAGGACAGAGAGCCGGGAGCTGACCGCACCCAAGCCCGCTCACTCCCAAGTCCTGTGCTCCCCCTGCCGCCCCTCCCTGCCTTCCCACCTCACGGCCCTGCCCGGGCGGACCCAACACAGCCTCCTCCAAGAACCGGCCGTATCTGCCCGAATGTCCCCCAAACGCAGCATGAATCTGTACTAAGACCCCCTTTCCGAAACCCGATGACTGGCCTCTGCCGTGTGACTTTTCGCATCCCGAAGGACAAGTGCCCAGAGGCCTGCCAGAGTCTCCAGCCCCCGGACCCCCTTCCTCAGCCTCGCCCGCACCCTCGGTCTTCCTGCTGGACGTCCAGCGCCCCAAACACCTGCGTGAACCGCTCTCTGTCCACGATGCGTCCGTAGCGAAGGGTGAGATAGAAGGTCTGCTTCCCGCTGTACTGCTGGATTCGTACAAACAGCTCCTGGGCCCGGTCCTGGGTTTCCGTCATGGGGATCACACTGGCCACGGGCCAGTCCGTGTCCTGCCGCCAGCCCCAGAAGGTCAGGTGGGCCACCCGCAGCACAGTGCCCGCCTCGTTCACATACAGGATGCCCACCAGCCTCCGGAAGAAATAGCTCATCCAGCAGAGCATGGCCAGGGCGAAGCTAGCCACCCCGCCTGCAAGGCACAGGGAGCCGAGGGTCACGAAGCCCTGCGAGTACCAGTAGCAGCCGGGCGGGAGGGCCAGCACCGTGAGCACCGTCTGAGCCACCTTCAGCCGAGACAGGTACCCGAAGGCTCTGATGGCGTCAAACCGGTAGACCATCTGGAAGTTCTCAGTCTCCGCGCCGGCCGCTTTCTCCTTCGGGGCGGGGCACCTGCTCCCTGCCCACCTCCCTGGATCCTGCCCGGTGCCCCGGTGGCACCACAGCCCGCACACAGGTCTTCTCCACGCGGCCGGGCCGGGCAGCCGAGACACAGCTCGGAGGAGGGCAGCCTGGAAGGGAGACAGGAGACACTGCTCTCAGGAACTCAGCTGCGCTAATCACACGACACACGTTTGCACGGCATCTCACCCTGAAGCTCCGGCCACCCCTGCGCAGTTGCCGTTACTGCCAGAGACACAGGGAAAGAGACGGCCAGATGCTTTAACTTTAACTCATGTGACCTTCACACAAGCGGTGCAAGACAGGCGCCACTGCAGTTGACCCTTGAACAATGCAGGGGTGAGGGACAGCCACCCCCGTGCAGTCAAAACTCCACAGGTAGCTTCTGACTCCTCAAAAACCTAACTACTAACATAGCCTGCGGCTGACCAGGAGCCTTACCGATAACAGTCGATTAACACACGTTTTGTACATTACATGTACATACGCTGTGTGCTTATAGCAAAGTCAGCTAGAAAAAAGAGCATGATTATGAAAACTGTAAGAGAAAATACACTTACAGGGCCGTGCTGCATTACCCAGACCGTCACATTTACGTCGTTCACAAGAGGAATCGTCTCTCAGTCCCTACATAGATACTGCTTATAGGATGCGAAACACCAACAGGCGTTTTGTTACCTATCACCAACGCTAGACACAAAAACAGAAACATAATAAGGGAGATTCCTATTTATTTATACGTAGGGTGATTCAAGGACTGGTAACCAAGAAGTAGTGACAGGACTGTTTTATGGTAGCCTAGCGTAACCTGGTGTCACCAATGCCACTGTTGCACAGGGGCCCTCGCCTCTGTGCTGACGAATGGCTGGCTATAAAATTTTTATGGCACACAGTATTACAGTGGGATTCATAATACAGTATTGGAAACGTTACTGCTTTTTTTAATGTTTTTTTTTTTTTTATTTCTAGGAGAGAGAGAGAGAGAGAGACAGCGTGAGCAGGGGAGGGTCAGAGAGAGAGGGAGTCACAGACCGAAACAGGCTCCAGGCTCCGAGCTGGCAGTCAGCACAGAGCCCAACGCGGGGCACGAACCCACGAACCGCGAGATCATGACCTAAGCGAAAGTCGGACGCTTAACCGACTAAGCCACCCAGGCGCCCCCGTTATTGCTTTTTTTAAAAAACCACTTCGCTGTGATGATAGGGTGATAGGCAGTCTCTCCAATTAGGAGAGGGGAGCATACTGGACCCTAACTCTTTGTAATTCTTTGAAAGAAAAGTTGCAAAACAGTAAGAAGACCCATCATTGACTTTATATTAAATTATCACCCACCTTAGGCCTCTAAGGATAGGCTCTCCGCTTCCAGGCAAGTCTTGCACATGATGTTCTGCCCGATTAATGCCCAGGCGACAATGCAGTCTGACACAGTGCCTGCCGTTATCAGATTTTCACACGGAGACACTCACGTGCACAACAGGTCAGTTTAACTGTACGGCATGAAGACTATTTAGTATTAGTTCATGGACGTGGTCTTCGTCCTTGTCATCTTTACTCCGAGGAGGCTGCGGATGAGGCAGAGGACAGGCTGGTCTCAAGGTCTCAGGGGAGGCAGGCGGGGCAGGCACACCCGGTATAACTTCCTGGAAACACACTGTAATTTCTGTCTGCCCTTTCAACTCTCTAAAAATGTTTCTATATAGTACCAGCCCTTCTTCCACCACTTGCTTTAGTCTCAGTGCTCGTATCACGGAAGGGTCCGTGTTGTGAAAGAAGTCAAAAGCCGTCCTGAATAATCGAAACCCTTCCGCCAGGTTGTCTAATGTCAGCTTGTTTTCCGGCACCGCCTCTTCCACATCTTCTTCGTCTGGCACCGGCCGGGAAGCTCTCGCCTCCGTCACGTCACCCTCTGTGAATTCCTCCAGCGTGGTGACTCTGGGCACCTGTGGTGGGAACTCATCTCCTGCCTCCTGGTCAACGGAGGCTGCTTGCCCTGCTATCTTGACAGTTTTTAAGCCAAACCTCTTTCTGAAATTATCAAACCATCCTTTGCTGGCACTAAATTCTCCAGCTTTAGACCCTTCGCCTTCCTTTTGCTGTAAGTTGTCATATAACGACTTTGCTTTTTCTCGAATCGTGTTAGAATCTATAGATATGCCTTTCTTATAGCAATCCTGCACCCACATAAAAGCCACGTTTTCAATACGAGACAAAAAGCTGTCTTGCAAACAGGGCAGTGTTCTCGCGCCTGCTGGCATAGCTGCCGCGACGGCTTCACGGACTTCCTTTTCCTTTTTTTCGATGGTCCTTACTCCAGATTCATTGATCTCGAAATGACAGGTCACTGCTGCTGCAGACCTTAATCTACGGTACATGTCAAGCAATTCGACTTTTTCTTGTAACGTCATGACTTTTCTTTGCTTCTTGGGAGCGCTTCTAGAATCCCCAGTGGCATTTTGTATGGGTCCCATGGTGTTACTCAAGGTTTACAGTATTCCACTAAACATGATGAAAAATACGCGAGAACCACTGCGTCACTTTTTACGGCCATTCGAAATTTATGAGTGAGGAACTGATCCCAAAAGAGGATTAGCAACATAGTTTTAAGTGCAGAAATCACAATGCTTGAGCTCACCTCAATGGCAACAGGAAGTGGCTCTGATATTTTTACAGGAGTGCAGTATGTACTGTAGTTAATTTTCTGCAGTTATGATTTAATACTGCATCTTTGTTTCCATTTCTCTAGACTATGGATGATGCCATGTACAATCTGGAAGCATGTGCATTTTGATAAACTTTTTTGTAACAAACTTGTGTATACTTACGGAAGTAAATAATACACTAGCATCGACATATATCTGATGCGTTCATGACATATCTTTTTTTTTCAGTATACCCAGGCTATGCAGTTCTCTGCCGGCTTTTTCAAATTGTTGCAAATCTCCAAAAAATTTCACAACATATTTATTTTTAAATCTGCACGTAAGCGGACCCACACAGTTCAAACCCACATTGTTCAAGGGTCAACTATACGTCCACTCTGCCACCCAGGGAAGGCTACAAACATACCCAAAGACACACCTCCAGTGAGTGGGGCAGAGTCTGACCCTCAAACTGATCCTCATTCCTTCAGGCCGTTCAAAGAGGTACAAGAAAAGCGGCTCAGCCTTCACTCATTCAGTCAATACCTAGGGACGACCAACTCTGGGTTGGGCACTGAATACATAAGGCTATGTGAACATTTTCCCCAGCAGGACGCTAAACAGCAAATGTCCTAAAGGGTAACAAATCCTTGCAATACCTACCATAATAACTTCCCAGTTCTCTGTGAAGGTCAAAGCACCATCTCCGGTGCTGAAGGGAACCGCTGATTTCTTAGCCCGGTTTGGGGGACGGGGAAGACCAAAGGAGGCGGCGACGGGAGGCGCGAACCCCCAGCACAAGGTTTTTATTAGGTGCACGGTTCTACACCTTGAGTAGGGCAGTGGAAGATGCTTTGGGCTTGGGGAGCAGTCACTAGCTGCGGCTCCTTAGGTAAGTTACTCCACTTCTCTGGGCCTCAGTTTCTCTCCGTTTCACAATGGGGGTTCACTGCATACCAAAGGAGATAATAGTTTCAAAGTCCTCAAACGGATCTAATGGACCCGAGGGCTCTGACGCACGGAGGAGAGTAGTACCCTGTGCGTTACGGCTACTGTCGGCCCACGTGACCCGAGCGCAGAAAGGCGCGGCACAGCAAGCCTTAACCCAGGTCGGAGCTCCCTACCGCGGATTCTCCAAATCTGAGCCCGAGAAATCCGCCTGCCTGCCTAACCTTGCCCACGACCCCGGAGGCGCTTCAGCTCCCGCGCTTCCCGCCAGCCGCCTTCTTACCATGGCCAGGCTGCCTGCCGCCAGAAGAGAATCCCCTCTGCCCCCGGAACCTCTAAGAGCGCCTGCCCGGCCGTAGTAGGACGGCGCGCGGGCGCATTGCATCCTGGGATTTGTGGTTCCGAAAGACTCCCCGCCGCTAGTCCCAGGCACGTGGCGGTGGCTCCGCCTTCTCCCAGCGTGCCCTGTGGCACGGGGGCCGCGCCCGGAAGTTCCGGGTCGAGTTCCTGGTTGCCAACGAGTCTGGTCGAGTGCGGGTGGAAACCGGCGGTATGGCGGCGTCGGACCCAGCGCTCTGCCTCTTCGACGTGGACGGGACCCTGACGGCCCCGCGACAGGTAGGCGGCGCCCGGCGGGCTGGCGGCGGCGGGGCAGAGCCGCCTGCTGCTCACATTCGAGGCCGACGACCGCCCAGGGTGCGGGTGGAGGGGCGACTGAGGACCGCCTACCCCCTCGGCAGGTCTGAACTCCGTTCTGGGTGCCTTGTGGGGATGAAACGGAAACCCGAAACAGCTCCTCTAGACCCCACGGTGCTCGGAGAGATGAGACCCTTGAAAGCCAAAAACTTGTATGGGCTTGGAAAACGCAATTTGGGACTCTTACCGCTTGCCCTGGATTTGAACCCCAGCTCAGCCCTCCTCCCAGCTATGTTCCCTCCTCAGCCATGTCACCTGTGAGCCGCATCTTGCAGCCTAATATGAAAACATACGTTTCCAGGTCAAACAGACCTAATAGAGTCTCAACCTTACCCTCTTGACAGCTGTCTGACCTTGAGCAGGTCACTTAGCCCCTGAGTGGTTTAAATGGGGGCGTTCCCAGTTCCATATGGTGTCGGTGAGGGTCGAATGAAATCGAACACCTTCGTTAAAATACCTTGGGTACGGTAGGCTGGGTTCCGTCAGAGTAAATCCTAGCACCCCACCCCTCCCCTCCCCACCCCCTTCTCCAGTGGGAGTAATCAAGGACCCCCAGCTTTTTGCTTTTTGAAGCTCACCGTGACCTCCTCCTTGCACAGACTGGTCGCTGAACAACAGCCCTTCAGACCTGAGCCGGGGGCCCAAGTGACCTCAGTATCTTCACATTCTGTCCCTGCCTTCTTGGTTTTGGCCAGGTGGTGGCAGTGGTGTGCTCCGGATTCCCACATGAAGTGCGTGTGATTTTTAGATACATCATTTCGCCTTCCTGAGCCACAGGTTCAGAGTATCTAGTGGTGATACTCAACTGCCAAGTTCTTCAGAGGCTCCTTTTGACGCCGATTCACACACCTGTAGACTGCTAAAGGCTCTTGGTTGCCCAGAGCCAGAGTCAGCAATTCATTGTTTGTAAAGGGTCGGATAGCAAGACTTTCGGTTTTTGCCAACCACATAGTCTGCAGTAACTATTCGATTCTAATGCAGAATTAGCCATAGACCATATGTAGACCAGCTTGGCTGTGTTCCGATAAAACTTTATTGATTTGTTATAAACAAAAACAGCTGCTCCATTTGGCCCATTGGCTGTAATGGTCTGCGGTTCACATTCCAAACCTTTTTACAACCTTTCCCTCTCAACTGTTCTTCCTCTTTCATCCCAAGTAGGATTTGTTTGTGGTTTGGGTTTTTTTGTTGTTGTTTTTTGGTTTGTTTGTTTGTTTGTTTTAGAGAACACGAGCCAGGGAGAGGGGCAGAGGGAAAGAGAAAGAATCTTAAGCAACCTCCATGCTCAGTGCGGAACCTGATAGGGGCTCAATCCCACAACTCAACCCTCAGGGATCCTGATCTGAGCTGAAATCAACAGTCAGACACCCCACTGACTGAATCACCCAGGCGCGCCCCCCCCCCCCCCAAGTAGGATAATTTTTGTTATTTCAAATATAAGGACCCTGAGATTCAGTGCAACCATGATCTCGATTTCACACAGCAAATCTGGTACAAGTCTCTGGGCTAGTGTTGTTTGCTAAGTTTCCTTAACACTGAAAAAAAAGTCTTAATTTGAACGAACATTATTTCTATGTGCTGGGTGCTCCAGGTAAAAATAAAAATACTTTAGCAACAGATCTATTCATTATACAACCTTTCCCTTCCTCAGTACAAACACTGATAAGCACATTACAGTCTGGAAGCCGAATGGGTTATGTTGCAGCTGCTAAAGCACACTATGCTGTAAACAGGTGAATCTAGTTAGGGTGGAGTCCAGAGCTTTGCCCATATCACCATTTGAGTGGGATCTTCTTGTGCTGAATTCTTTCCTAAGAAATGCCATGCCATCTAAAAGCAGTTGAGGGCACCTGGGTGGCTCAGTCAGTTAAGCATCTGACTTGGTTTCAGCCCCGGTCATGATCTCACAGTTTTCATGAGTTCGAGCCCTGCATCAGGCTTTGTGCTAATGGTGCAGAGACTGCTTGGGATCCCCTCTCTCTGCCCCTCCCTCACTCAGGCTGTCTCTAAATAAATAAGTAAACTTAAAGAAAATTTTTAGATTAAAAAAGAGAGAACAGCTGAGACTTAAAAGTGTGTGAAAAGAAGGGAGGCACACGCCTGTGTGAAGTGTTCCCCGCTCTGCGTCTTAAAACGTTCAGACCCCAGAACCACCGAAAAACGTATACAGCCGTATTCCCACCACTTAAATTCAGCAATGATTGACATTAACTCTCTGCTTTTTTTTTCTTAAATTTTAAATGTTTTATTTATTTACGAGAGAGAGAGGGAGAGAGAGAGAGAGAGACGAGGGGGATGAGCAGAGAGAGAGGGAGACACAGAATCCAAAGCAGGCTCCAGGCTCTGGGCTGTCAGCACAGAGCCTGATGCGGGGCTCAAACCCACAAACTGTGAGATCATGACCTGAGCCGAAGTCAGACGCCTAACCGACTGAGCCACCCAGGTGCCCCTCTCTACTTTTTTATTCTGCACTGTACCACTCCCTAAGCCAGAGTCATCCTGGTACTTCACCCCTAAGTATTTGAGCCTGCGTCTCTTGAGGACACCTGTGGTCACCCCAGGGGTCATCGTCACACCTCCAAAAATTACCACCGGTCCCCTCCTCTTACTTATTTAATGCCCCAGTGTAGCAGTTAGCAAACGCTCTTCCGTACACGGCCAGGTGGGAAGCCGTTGAGACTCTGTGGGCCGTGTGACCTGTCACAACTAGCGGAGGGTGTTGTGGCAGCCACAGACGCTACACAGACAACGGATATGGTGGTGTTGCTGGCGTGCTGTGCAGAACTCGGCAGTGGATCAGTGCTGGCCCCTGCGCCCTGTTTTGCTGACTCTTCTTTATTCCTGTCAGTTTTCCCTTACTGTCCCCAGAAAAGTCTCTTGTGATTGGTTTGTTCAGAAGATGAATTTTTAACAGGCTTTGACCTTAATGTCATGCTTTTGGATCTTTCTCTGTTTATTCTGTCCAGGGTGATTTATAAAGAATGCTTGTGTCTTGTCATTGTCGACACAAGAGTTACTTGCAGACATCACAGCAGCTTTGCTGTGTGATTATTTTGCGCTAAAGATCTCTCCTACGATGGGTAGTTGAGATGCTCTGTTGTGGTCACCAGCAGCTGGGTCTTATTTCCTGTTCAAAAAGTATTTGCTGCCACTTGGAAGGGAGAAGAGCGCCTTCTACAACCCGTTCACATTGCAGACACATGTCTGATGACCACAGTACCTTGGAGCACATCACTGTGCACAGGGGTTCAGATCAGATAAATTGCAGCTTCCGGCCTCTGTTTAAAGATGGAAGTATTGCATTTTTAAAAATTTAACATTTATTTATTTTTGAGAGACAAAGCATGAGCAGGGGAGGGGCAAAGAGAGAGGGAGACACAGAATCCGAAGCAGGCTCCAGGCTCCAAGCTGTCAGCACAGAGCCCGCCATGGGGCTTGAACCCACCAACCTCGAGAATATGACCTGAGCTGAAGTCAGACACTTAACCGACTGAACCACCGAAGTGCCCCGGAAGTATTGCATTTTTTAGTATTTTGCAATCCAGGGAGTCTTCCCCATTTCCTCCCGTTTTGACGTCAGGAGTCCTCCCCACTTCCTGCCATTCTGATGTCAGGTGGAACTAAGCCACTTGGGGGGCCCCGGGACCCATTTTCATAATCACTGACTCACAGAGGCCAGCAGTACAGCTCTACGTTTTTTGTTCCGTGTCAAGATTACCCTGAAGATATAACAGAGAAAAGACTCTGTTATAAGCCCTCTGTACAATTTTATTAATCCTATGTGTGGATTACTCTAAACCGGTGTGTTTTGTTTTGCTTTGTTTTTAATTTCTGCTAACTTCATTTTTTTAATTTAATTTTTATTTTTTAAATTTACATCCAAGTTAGCATATAGTGCAACAGTAATTTCAGGAGTCAATTCCTTAATGCCCCTCCCACAACCCCTCCAGTAACCCTCTGTTTGTTCTCCATATAAGAGTCTCTTACATTTGTCCCCCTCCCCGGTTTTATATTATTTTAGCTTCCCTTCCCTTATGTTCATCTGTGTCTTAAAGTCCTCATATGAGTGAAGTTCTGTATTTGTCTTTCTCTGACTAATTTCACTTAGCATAACATCCTCTCATTCTATCCATGTAGTTGCAGATGGCAAGGTTTCATTCTTTTTGATTGCCAAGTAATACTCCATTGTGTGTATGTGTGTGTGTGTGTGTGTGTACACACACATATGTACACATCTACATACCACCTCTTCTTTTTCCATTCATCAGTCAGTGGACATTTGGGCTCTTCCCCTACTTTGTTGATAGCACTGCTGTAAACCTTGGGGTGCATTTGTCCCTTCAAAACAGCACACCTGTATCCCTTGGATAAATACCTAGTAGTGCAGTTGCTGGGTTGTAGGGTAGTTCTATTTTTCATTTTTTGAGGAGCCTCCATACTGTGTTCCAGAGTGGCTGCACCCGTTTGCATTCCTGCCAGAGGTGCAAAAGAGATCCTCTCTCTCTGCATCCTTGCCAGCAGCTGTTGTTGCCTGAGTTGTTAGTTGTAGCCATTCTGACAGGTGTGAGGTGGTATCTCATTGTGGTTTTGATTTGTATTTCCCTGATGATGAGGGATGTTGAGCATCGTTTTATGTGTCTGTTGGCCATCTGGATGTCTTCTTTGGAGAAGCCCCAGGGTCGCCTGGGTGGCTCAGTCGGTTAAGCGGCTGACTTTGGCTCAGGTCATGATCGCACGGTTTGTGAGTTCATGCCCCGCGTCCGGCTCTGTGCTGACAGCTCGGAGCCTGCAGCCTGATTCAGATTCTGTGTCTCCCTCTCTCTCTGACCCTCCCCTGTTCATGCTCTGTCTCTCAAAAATAAATAGAAATGTTTAATTTTTTTTTTTTTCTTAAAAAAGAGAAGTGCCCATTTCTTCACTGGATTATTTGTTTTTTGGGTACTGAGTTTGATAAGTTCTCTGTAGATTTTGGATACTAACCCTTTATCTGAAATGTGGTTTGCAAAATATCTCCTATTCTGCCCCTTGCCTTTTAGTTTTGCTGATTGTTTCCTTCACTGTGCAGGAGTTTTTTATTTTGATGAGGTCCCAGTAGTTCATTTCTGCTTTTGTTTCCCTTCCCTCCGGAGATGTGTTAAGTAAGAAGTTGGTGCGGCCAAGGCCAAAGAGGTTTTTGCCTGCTTTCCCCTTGAGGATTTTGATGGCTTCTTGTCTTACATTTAGGTCTTTCATCCATTTTGAGTTTATCTTTGTGTCTGGTATAAGAAAGTGTTCCAGGTTCATTTTTCTGCATGCCGCTGTCCAGTTTTCCCAGCACCACTTGCTGAAGAGACTGTCTTTATTCCCTTGGATATTCTTTCTTGCTTTGTCAAAGATGAGTTTGTGGTCCCTTTCTGGGTTCTCTATTCTGTTCCACTCACCTGAGTGTCTGTTTTGTACCCATATCATACTGTGTTGATGATTACAGCTTTGTAATATAGCTTGAAGTCCGGGATTGTGATGCCTCCTGCTTTGGTTTTTTTAAAGATTGCTTTGGCTATTTGGGGTCTTTTCTAGTTCCATACAAATTTGAGGATTGTTCTAGTTCTGTGAAGAATGCTGGTGTTGTTATGATAGGGATTGCTTTGAACATGTAGATTGCTTTGGGTAGTATTGACATTTCAATAATATTTGTTCTTCCAATCCAGGAGCATGGGATATTTTTCCATTTTTTTGTGTGTCTTCTTCAATTTCTTTCATAAGCTTTCTATAGTATTCAGTGTATAGATTTTGTACCCCTTTGGTTAGATTTATTCCTAGGTATTTTATGGATTTTGGTGCAGTTGTAAATGGGATCAATTCCTTGATTTCTCTTTCTGTTGCTTCATTGTTTGTGTACTGCTAACTTCGTTTCTAAAGCTAGAACTGTGAGGGGTGCCTGGCTGGCTTAGTCAGTAGAGCATGCAACTCTTACTCTCGGGGTCATGAGTTCAAGCTCCACTTGGGGGCAGAGTTTACTTAAAAACATAAATAAATAAAAATAACTATGTGAATGTACAGTTCAGATTGCTACAGATAACAATTTAACTTTTAAAAATGAATTGTGATTTGTCTTAACACAGGGATATCTTTTCATGTGACTTCATAATTTCTTTTGAATTAGTGCACAGTTTGGAATTTAACCAGAATAAAATTATATCGTTATGACCACTATTGATAGATAGGAGCCTTTTAGGAGAGATTTAAAAAATCTAATGATCCGACTCTTGTGGCTTTTGTTTTTCCTTTGGTTTTGTATGATTATAACAAATCAATTCTCGATGCTCTCTTTAATCTGATTGCGTTATTTTGTGTTAAAATCAACTTAAGTCCATAAGTAGAGCAGAGGATAGCATTTGCAAGAGATGCACTAGTCTGTGTCCATTGACACGTAAAGATCACCACTTAATGCTAAAAAAAAAAAAAAAATCATTGCACAAGATGCAGAATGAGTCCACTCATGTTTCCAAAAACAAGGCCTATTTCTTTTTCTGCATGTAAACAGGTATATAAATGCAGACAGGATGAGCTAGAACAGCACACACCAGCTGTTTATATATTGTGTGTTTTAAACTAGGTAAAAATAAGTACAGGTTGACGCATTTTTTTCTGGTAAAAAGGTGATGTACTTGGACTTGTCTACAGACCTAGAGCCTGAATAGGTTTGTATGAAGGTAAGGGTTGCATCACTCTTGCAGTTTTTTGTCTCATCATCACTAAATGACTCATGATTTTTTATTTTCCTTTTTGAAATGTAGAAAATCACCAAGGAAATGGACGACTTTCTCCAAAACCTGAGGCGGAAGATCAAAATTGGAGTGGTGGGCGGGTCCGACTTTGAGAAAGTGCAGGAGCAGCTGGGAAGTGATGGTAATAACCTGCATTGCTAGTTGCGTTCGGTAAAAAATTAACTTCACAGGAGGAAATTGAGTCCCGAGCCAGCCTTCTCCCATAGTCAGGCCTTCTTCCTTGTTGGGAGGGTCCTTCTCTCTGCTTTCTCTTTCCTGTTTTTAACCCTGTAAGTAAATTTCTGGAGGTGGTGGTGGACCTCTCGGTACTCAGACACACAGGCCATTTCCCTCGAACTGTGAGTGTCTGTCACTGCCCAGAACACTTCACGTTGTCCCTGTCCACTCTCCGAGCTCCGCTCAAGCCCTGTCTCCTGACCGTCTTCTCACCTGGGTGTTGAGGTGCCCCCTGGGTGTGGGCACTTCGCCGTTGCCCTAACGCGGCGTTTCCCAGAGTTCCCTGATCCCGAGTCACCGGGGCTCCTCCCCTGCTGATGGAGCAGGACTCTGGAGCACGGGCCCTGCACTGCAGCCTCCGTCCTGGGACCTGCGATCGTCCCGGGGCCTGCGATTGTGTTTGAGTCGCTCCCCCGGACGGCCTGACGCACGGCCCGCCCTCCCTGCTCCTTGGAAGCTGCCCACTTGTCTGATTTTTCTCGAAGACCAGGACATGGATTATTCATCTTGTGGCCCTGGTGTGTCTAGGGTGCCTGGCCCATAAGAAATGGAGGGCGGAGAGCCATGTGACTTGATCACCTGGGACACTGTTGGCCTTTGGGGCCAGGTCCTTCTCTGTTGTCGGGCCGTCCTGTGCTTATAGGGCGTTAAGCAGCATTGGGTACCCCCTTGATGCCAGTAACCCCTCTACCCCCAGTGTGACAACCAGAAACGTCTCCAGACATTGCCAAATGTCATCGAGGGAGCAAAAATCACCCCCAGTTGAGAATCAGCATTTTAGCTGTGGTACCTTACAGTCCAAATCTGTGTAAGCTGCGTTGCAGGGTCAGTCACTGTAAATGTAATCTGTGCGTTCTCTTTAAAACTCCGTTCTGCTGCTACTTAATTTCCTTGTAGACGCCCTGCTTAGAAAGGCTGTAAACAACAGAATGGGGCACAGAAATCCGGTTACCTGGCCCTGATGGCCCTTTCTGCCTCTGGCCGAATTCGGAGAGGTTTTGTGTCAGGCTGGGGCACTGTGTATATTTCAGACTGAGTCAAAGCAACAGAATCAAAACACTTACAAGCTGGGGAAAGTTGGAGACTTGGCCATATCAGAATCGCTGGTGAACTTGTTAAAATGTGGATGTGAGGGCCCTGCCCAACACATGGTACCTGAGAATCTGCATTTTCACAAGCCCCTAAAGTTTGAGGGCCTGTTTAGATTTGTGTGCGCGGTCTCCAAATCTGACTGCTTGTAAGAATCATCCAAAGACCTTTAAAAAAAAAAATGTATGGGTGCCTGGGTGGCTCAGTCGGTTGGGCGTCTGACTTCGGCTCAGGTCATATCACAGTTTGTGTGTTTGAGCCCCGCATTGGGCTCTGTGCTACAGCTAGCTCAGAGCCTGGAGCCTGCTTCAGATTCTGTGTCTCCCTCCCTCTCTGACCCTTCCCTGTTCACGCTGTCTCTCTCAGAAATAAATAAAACATTAAAATATATTTTTAAATAAAATTGTTTAATGTAGTTTTTAGCTTATACCTTGCATATTTGGATTCAGAAAGCCTGAGAGCTGGGGCGCCTGGGAGGTTCAGTCAGTTCAATGTCCAACTCTTGATTTCTGCCTAGGTCATGATCTTAGTGGATCTTTGTGGGATCAAGCCCTCCTATCAGCACAGAGCCTGCTTGGTTTTGATTGTCTTCCTCTCTCTCTGCCCAGCAGTTTCATGCTTCTCTCTCTCTCTCTCTCTCTCTCTCAAATAAATAAACTTTAAATAAATTAATGTGAACAGATTTTGGGAATCTGCACATGTTTAGTGCTGCCCTGGTGATACGGATCCTCAGAAAGGCTTGGGGGCTGTTGTTGACATCCATCTTCCCTAATCATAGAGAGGGCTAAAGGCAGAGATGTGAGAAGACCCACCACCAAAGCTCCAATCTCTGGTCTGGCCCCCGTCTTTTATGTTTGTATTTGAGAGTCTTTTAAAAAAAGAAAAATTTGAGGACCTTTTTCCCCACTCGCCCAACCTGTTAAGACAAGATATTCTTTTTTTTTTTTTTAACATTCATTTTTGAGAGACAAAGCATGAGTGCGGGAGGGGCAGAAAGAGAAGAAGACACAGAATCTGAAGCAGGCTCCAGGCTCTGAGCTGTCAGCACAGAGCCGGATGCAGGGCTCAAACTCACTGACCATGAGATCATGACCTGAGCTGAAGTCAGACGCTTAACTGACTGAGCCACCCAGGTGCCCCTAGATGAGATATTCTTTTACAGTTCTTTCTGGAGTTCAGCAATCTTACTGGTGATGGTGTTAATCAAGAAATAGAGGGGCTTCTGGGTGTCTCAGTCAGTTAAGCATGCTGCTCTTAATCTCAGCTCAGGTCTTGATCTCAGGGTTGTGAGTTCAAGCCCCACATTGGGCTCCACACTGGGCATGAACCCTACTTTATTTAAAAAAAAAAAAAAGAGGTGGCACCTGGGTGGCTCAGTCAGTTGAGCATCTGACTCTTGGCTTCGGCTCAGGTCATGATCTCACCATTTGTAAGTTTGAGTCCGTCTTCAGCCTCTGCACTGATAGCGTGGAGCCTTCTTGGGATTCTCTCTCTGTCCCTCCCCTGTACATGCGAGTGCCTTCTCTCAAAAGAAATAAACATTAAAAAAAAAAAAAAAAAAGAAACACAGACTTTGGTTCATTGCATCCTAAGTTTTCTTTTGTTTCTGTTGCAGTTGTTGAAAAATACGATTATGTGTTTCCAGAGAATGGCCTGGTAGCGTACAAAGATGGGAAACTCTTGTGTAAACAGGTGCGTTCTTGAATACCCAGACAGCGACCTACTATTGTTAAAGTGTTTTCTAAAAAGCTGTTTAACGTTGAGTGCTTCTGGCGAGGTGTATCTGGGGGTGCGGCACAGGGGAAGGGATGAATCTCCACCCCGTATTTTTTGTATCTTGAACGTTGAACCATGCGACTCTCATATATTCCAAATTGTTAACTACATTTTTGTAATTGTTTTTTAAGGATGGTTAATCGAATATTTCTGTTAGCGATAGCGGAGACCAAGGCCGGCAGGCCATCAGCATTGTAAAGAGGTAGCGTGTAGCTCTTATTTGTAATAAGATCATTCTATTCAGATGTAAAAGAAGCCTAAGTGGAACAACTGTATTTTCTGTCGGCATCTGTGGATGTTTTAATTGAATAAAAGCAGCAATAATATAATCTTTGGAACTTCTTTGAAGCATTTGAAAGGTAATGAGTTCAAAAATGTTGAGTCATGAAACAGAAAATGCTTTAATTAAAGGCTTTCATGGTTTGCTGATTTGCACTAGGGAGAGGAGGGAACAGACGGTGGGGTGTGTCACCCTGGCCACCACATCAGCCTAGTGACCTTCACCCAGTGGTGGTAAAGACCTGGTTTTACTCTAAAGTTATTTTGAAAATGCCAGTCACTGAATCAAGTAACCCCCATATTTTCTTTATCTAGAATATTCAAGGTCACCTGGGTGAGGCCCTGATCCAAGACTTAATCAACTACTGCCTGAGCTACATTGCGAAAATTAAGCTCCCGAAGAAGAGGTGGGTTTGCTCTCAGCAGAGAGGCTGAGCCGGAGCCTGGACCAGTGCCAGTGGGCTGCTTGGCACCCACTCTAGTCCCCTGACCTGTGCTTAGAAGGCAACTGCTAGACGCTGTCCCGCAGAAGAGTGAGGACGTAAATGGCGGCGTGTCCACACGGTGGAAATCTGGCACTAGGTGCTTTCCGAGGCTGTGCAGAAGGCCTGTGAAATAGCGCCCGGCCCCGGGAGTCACCTGGAGGCAGCGTTTGCCCGGCCCATGGCGTGAACTAAAGTCTGATCACTTGCTATCATTTGGAAGCCTGAGTTCACGTGGTAAAGTGCCTGCACTTCAGCTTCTGTAGTGTCTGAGGCCTGTGGCCTCTGTGACCGTTCCCGGGTGGCAGCAGCCAGCTGAGCTGCACTCCCCCACCCGCACCCCCAGTCTTTCCCAGACTCCTTCCCTCCTTTTTCTGACCTCCGTAAGCGTTTGATTTGGGGACTAACCTCTCGCTCTAGATACTGTACTCATCTCCGTTCCCATTTTTCAGTAATACTAACTAATGTCGTTTCATGCCCACAGTTAAAACACTGGCAGAAAACAACCCCATAGGCTAACAGGGACTGTTTCTTGGTGAGGTTACGGGTGTTTTCTTGGATTTATGTTCCATTTTCTTCTTGGTCTGCCCTTAACATGTAACACCTTGATGATGAGGGAGAGAAACTGTTTGTTTAAACAGCAGCTGAATTTCAGGATACGCGCTTTTGAGACTGCTCAAAGCCACAGACCCCGTTTAACCAGTGCCCCCGCCCAACACCTCCACAAAGGGGCTTCCTGTTCACATCTCACAGAAGGGGCTACGGACGAGACAGGCTGGGCCCAGGGCTGTCCTGGCCGTGGCTGGGTAATGGCTCATGGGGCTTTGTTATCCTGCCCTTGGTGTTTTTATGTGTGGTGGAAATTCTTCACGGTCGAAAGTGCAAATATAACATACCCCAGGGCAGTTTAGGCTTTACTCTGGGTTAAGCATTAAGGGAGGCTTTGAATGAATGAATGGAATGAAAGAAAGAAGGAGGGAGGGAAGGATAAGGCGTGATCCTGTCCTAGAGGGAGACCCATGTGCAGAGCTGTCCTTCAGTCCCAGGAGGTCCCCCCGGATTCGGGGGCAGACCTGAGACCGCGTTGATCAGCATTTGCCCATATTTCCCGTTTCCCATCAGCACTGCCCTCCTGTCTTTTCCCTCCATTTCCCTGTCTGCCCCTCCCCGCCCTGCCCCCCGGGGGTCACGCGGGTGCAGTAGGACTAAAGAGGAGTCCAGACCTTCAGGGAGGAATCGAACACCCGATAAAGTGCCGTAATCCTGGCTTTTGAGAACAGAAGCCTTTCTCAGATGCATCAGCCTCCCTCCCATGGGAATGAGAGGGGGCTACTGTGTCCTTGAGATGCTGGTGGGGAAAACTCAGTGAGCTCTTCGACATTTAGGACCACAGTCCTAGTGACCCGTGGGAACCATCACCAGGGTACATGTGGCAGGTACGGGCGCAGGGCTGGTCTGTACCAGCTCCGGGACGTCCCGGGGGCGGGGAGGGGGGGGGCGTGTCAGGAAGCATCTCAGATGCGCGTGTCTTGTTAGGTCATTTGCCACCTTCTGTGCACTCTGAGCACAGCTGGGAGAGGATGCAGCGATGGGATTTTGCCCCGTCGACTTGACCTGACAAGCATTCATTGCTTCCCAACTGTAAGAACTGGGACATCTGATTTCTCAAGACCCTGTAGAGGTAGCCGGAACCACCTCAGCCCCTCTGTGAGGCTCCGAGAGGCGCCCCAGGTCACACGGTGTCGCAGTAGGCAACACTGGCCTTGAAGCAGCCCTCCGCTCAACGCTGGGCACATGTCCCCGGGAGTTACAGGTGGCTGGTGGCTCGAGATCATGTGGTTTCTGTTGGACAATGAGTTTTACCGTTACTAAAGAGCTATTTATTCTTAAGGTGGAATTGTGAGCTTTTAAAAAAAGCTCACAAGGTATTTGAGTTTTTAAGAAACTATCTTGAGATGGAAACTAGGGACATGGTGGGGGAAATGGGGTTTTTGGTAAATATCTTCATTCAGAGTGACTAAAAAAGTGTAACTCTGTTCTCATTTTCCGTGGTCACAGCCACCACTTAACAGCAGTTGGCCACAGGTGCCCTGTGCTTCCCCAGTGATTGCGGAGGCTCAGCAGGCCATTCTCGGAGCCTCTTCCCAGAGCTTTGCTTGGTCACGTCAGTGCACTCAACGTGTTGCCAGCAAAGGTGTCTGACACATGAATTTCCAGACTCCTGGGGGGCCTTAGAGTTGTTAATCCTTTTCATAGTTCTTTATTAACAGTAAAGTTCACTGCCCAACAGACATCAGGTGAGCCACATGTGCAATTTTTTAAGTTTTCTGTAGCCGTATTAAAAAAAAAAAGCAGAAAGGAACAAATGAAATTAATTTTCATCACGTTTTACTTAGCCCAGTATATCCAGAACATAATCATTTTTTTTAATGTTTTATTTATTTCTGAGAGAGCGAGAGAGACAGTGTGAGCAGGGGAGGGTCAGAGAGAGAGGGAGATACAGAATCTGAAACAGGCTTCAGGCTCTGAGCTGGCAGTCAGCACAGAGCCTGATGCGGGGCTCGAACCCATGAACCGTGAGATCATGACCTGAGCTGAAGTCGGACACTTAACCGACTGAGCCACCCAGGCGCCCCTGGAACATAATCATCTTAATGTATGATCAGAATAAAACATTTCGAATGATGGGGACATTCTGCATCTTTGAAATCTAGTCTCCGTGGGATTGGCCACAGCTCTGGGCTCAGTGGCCGCCTGTGGCCCACGGCTGCCACGTAGCTGAGCACAGGCCTGGGTCTTACCCTGAGTATCCACCCGTAGCGTTGCCCACATAAATAACGTGTCGGGGCCTGTCTCCTCCCCAGAGGCACTTTCATCGAGTTCCGAAATGGGATGTTAAATGTGTCCCCCATTGGAAGAAGCTGCAGCCAAGAAGAGCGCATTGAGTTTCACGAACTCGATAAAGTGAGTCCCCCTGACACCACGTGGGCTGATGAAGAGAAGATGTGCTGCCGCATGGCCAGTGGTTGAAGGGTGCTCTCTAAACTGCAGTGAGATGATCCGTATCTGGTTTGTTTTTGTTTTTTTTTCCAGAAAGAAAACATAAGACAGAAGTTCGTAGCAGATCTGCAGAAGGAGTTTTCGGGAAAAGGCATCACGTTCTCCATAGGTACCGTGGGCGCGGACGGGCTTCAGGAGTGGGTGGTTAGTCACGGGATTGCCTTGGGCCAGCGCACTCTTGAAATTGAACTGTGGCCAGTTTGCAGGTGGGCAGGAGGATTTGGGGAGCAGTCCTTGGACGGGGAAACCCTGCTATGCGGTCAGCCCTCCCGGAGACCTGCCCAGGCTGCTGGGAGGGTTCTGAATTCTCACGCAGCAGGACCCTTCCTCCTGGCCCGAGGCTGGGTAGACTCCGGAACCTGGTGATGTTTTGGCATCAGGGAACCTTGGCAGTCAGTAGGTGTGGTTTTACAAATCGAGAAACCAAGGCCCTGCATGGAAAGGGGACTTGGCTGAGCTCAGGCAGGTTTTCTCTACACCAGGAGGCTGTCGTGCAGACTCTTCTGGTGTCTGACGTAGAGTTCTTTCTGTGGTGCACGTGTCTCGGCCTTGGTTTTTGGTAGGATACGCCCATCAGATGCTCTAAGCCAATGATTTCCCTTGTGCTCATGAGTCATTACTTAAAGCCCCTCGTTTTACGAGCTTGTCTAAGGGTACAGCTGTGGAAAACTGGAATTGCAAAGGGCTTATGTCTGTCAGATGAAGGGGTAGATTCTTCAGCCTTGAACTGTGAGGTGTTCACCCCCCACAGAGCTCTGGCGGGGTGGTCCTTGCCCCTGAACACTGCCTGCAGGTCCCCTTCCCCGCGCTTTTTCTTCCTCCTGCGAGATGAGCCACACGCAGCCTGCTTCTGGGTGTTGTCCCCCAGGGGCGGGCCCAGCTGAGCGAATCGGGGACCAGACTCCTGGCCAGCGTGCTGCAGATTGACCGCACGCTTGGCGAAACGCGTGAACACAGAGGCCTGCCTCGGTCTGAGCTGGCATTTTGTCACGCTTTTACATCCCAGGTGAAATCGTCTTGGGGAGACACATGTCACATTCATTTCTAGAACCTGTCCCTAAGGAGCATAAGTAGCAAACGAGGCTATTAAAAATCAACCTCAGCCGTCCAGTTGCTGCTGGGTAAGCGGCACATTCTTTTCAGGGCCGGGTCCCTCGCCTCCTTCCCACCTTTAGCTTCTGTGTTCCTGGCCCTGCAGGGGGCCAGATCAGCATTGACGTCTTCCCTGACGGATGGGACAAGAGGTACTGCCTGGGACACGTGGAAAAAGATGGCTACAAAACCATCTACTTCTTCGGAGACAAAACCATGCCAGTGAGTACACAAGTGTTTTCTGGAGTTCGATTGTTCAGTTTGGGCTGGAAAAGGGGAAGCGGACAAACATGCTTTTTCCCTTCACCTTCGTGCTCTGACACCGGACGGCTCAGCCGAGGCAGAAATTGAGCTGTTGTGAGTTCAGCATTGCCCGTTGCACGCACCTTCTAGAGCCACTGCCGCGGTCGGCACGTCACAGCCCTGGGCTTGGGCACGGCTCCACTGCGCTTCCCCCCGGGGCGTGCGATGTGAGTTGAGCACAGGAGTCCTGGCTGGTAGGAAGACAGGGAGTCACGTGTGTCTGAAATTCGAGAGACCGTGCGAGGGACGGTTTCGAGCTGGACGTCACACACACAGGGTCCGAGCGCCACCTGGAGCTGTGGGAAATCCTGGGTCTGGACTGAATCTAAATCAGGACCGGGAGCAGAGCCAGGTCAAAGGCCAGCACGGAGAAGGGTTTCTCCAGAGCCGCCACGACGGCAGCACAGGTGGGCCCCCAGGTGGTTGGCGAAGTGTTGAGGCCCCGGGCTGTCATATCTAAAGTTCTCACTCAGCCGGGAGAAAGCACACGCAGATTAAAATAGAGAGATGGCTAATGTCCAGGAAAAGACAAAAGCCCCACATAAGGGTCCTTACCCCGTTTTTATTAGAATCAGAGGCTTATAAACGTGCTGGACGTGCACAAAGAGACTATGAATCTGTGAACAGTAACTCGTGTATGTGACGGAAAGAGGGTCTTGAAGATATTCAGGGTTAGGGGTTTGGGTTAATACAAAACAGAATCCTGTCATCGGGCAGTCGGGGGGAAGGGTGTTTACGGCGGACATGAGGCACCACCTCTGTTTATCTCAGCGAGCCCAGGGGATGGGACAGGCAAATAACGTCAGGTTAACAAGGCACCTTTTCTTTTGTCGATCACCCCCTCTCTGGGCGGCTTCGGCGCAGTGCAGGGGGCTGTGGCCCCATTTACCTAATGCTTACCTAATGGCCTTCCTTCCCGTGAGAGCAGCTTTCTGCTGTAGTACTAAGTTGGAGGGCACTTTACGCCCTCAGTGCCTAATCTTGCTTACCTCCTATACCTTTGCACCCTCCCCCTCGATCCTGGGGTCCTAATCTTGTTTACCCACACTGGGGTGTGAGCATGCTGTGGTTTCATACTTCTTTATGCCTTGGTGACCCGTTGGTATAAGCCTGGGGGACTCCTCAGCTCATTCCCTACAGTTCCCCCTTTTTGTTTTTCTTGATTCTTCTAGTTTTGTGTTCGAGGACTGTCATGTCAGGCTCCTGGTCCTTCTTTTGCTTTTGGATGGTCCGAAGGGTGATTCTGCAAAGACATAAAAAGAAGCATAGTAAAAGCATTCCGCTTTTATCCAGAATTTGAGATGGGTACTGGCCTTGAGAAAGGATTCAGGACACGCCACACTTCCCAAGAATCAGCCCATGTATTATTAAGCTGATTCTCTGCATTTAGTAGCTATTGGAGCAAAGTCATGTCTAAATTTTCTGTATTGTCAGAGGGGTAGGAAGGAAGTGTCCAGGTGTCTCTGGACAGCATCCCAAGCCTGGCAGTGATTGTAAGGGATGCCAGTCATGCAGACCTGCTGATAGTGAGGGTCATAGGGCAGTTTGGGTGGAGGAACAGGGCCTCCACTCTCTTTCCAGTAAATTCCACTGCAGCCTCAAGAGCCTCAAGGCAGGCCAAGACTTGTTTATCCATGGAAGTCTGGGTATAAATTCTTTGGTAGTGCTGGCCATAAATTCATTAAGGACATGAGCCGTCTGGTAGTATGATGCAGGCTAACCCTGGCTGCAGTGGCGGCAGCAATAGCGCCTGCTGCTGCGAGGATGCCCATGGCTAACAGGCCAACACCTCTCTTCTGCCTCGCAGCAGAGGGCCAGTGTCGGATAAGTGTGGAATGCACACCCAGTCCTGATGGATGCACTTAGGGCTCGGAGCTGTTAAGAGGAGCCCAGGCTGGGATGCGCTAAGTACCAATAAGGAGGAGATGGTTATTTGGGTGATGTTATCCTTACTTAGCAGGACATAAACCAGCCCTGGGGAGTGGAGCTGTAATAATCATTTCCTAATTGTTGGAGCTGTAAGGTGGAGGTAGAAAGAGAGCGTAGGGAGAAGGACGCAAATTGCTTGTGGTGCCGGGAGGCCCAGGTTGGGTTCGCAGGGCGTTTTACAGAAATTTCACCATGGCTGATAGAGTGAAGAAGGAAAGACCTAGCTGCCAGAGATTAACAAGTCATGGTCCTTTTAATTTCCCTTTATGTGCAGAAATCAAAGAGCCAGACAAGCCTCCATCTTTTCAAAAACTATTCTCTCTACTAAACCGGTTGAAGGATATGGTCTTATTAGAATATTTTGTCTCAAGATGTCCTTTAGAAGCCCCATCAGAAATACTCCAGTGAAGATTGTGCTCAGTCTCTCCCTAACAGGTTGTCCAGGGAACAATGGCCCAGGGGTGCTCTGAATATTTGAGACTAGAGCAAGCTGTAACATTAGGACTACGAGATATGCTTGTTTTAAGCTTGTGGCTGAGAAAAAGGTAAGATTGCCTTGTAGAGGTGTTGGGCTGTACATGTAAAAGCCGGTTGATTTTTAGTGGGAGACAAGCAGAGAAGTTGTTAAAGTTTCGTAACACTCATAGGAGGTCCTGGAGGAAGCCACCACTGAGGTCTCGGCCTATAACACCAATGCTCTTGTTCCGTTTGGAAGGGAGGTTAAAACCGGCTCCTTCCGTGAGCTCTGTCATTATTGCTAATTGCAATATCCCTGCCTAGGAGTCTTAGGCTATCAGATACAGGTGGGTTGAGGAGATGAGCCCAGTGTGAATATTGAGCTTGGCCTGGACAAATGAGGGCAAGGAGTAGAATCACGGTTACACATTCTGAAGACCGAAATCACGGCCGTCAGATGTGAATTAGGGGTGTATGTGAAATCACTGTGTTGTAAGGATGCCGGCCTGGCTAGACAGGCGTTTAAGGCTTCCCCATGCTGTATCAGGGCAGTGACTTACGTTTGTGGAGTGACTTCAGGATGAGGCGTCCGTGAAGAGGCTTCTTCCATCTTGAAAACGGGGGCCAGTGGCTGTTCAGTCATTCTCTGGAAGGTCTGGTTCATGAGAAGGAGTCCTACGGGTGCCGGGGTAAGGAAGGCTTTACCACACGAGAGAGGGAATCCACAGAAGGCCGGAACCTGAAAGAATACAAGCATATTCTTGACCCCAGGTGAGAAGTTTAGTGGGCCCAGTCCGTGAAGACCCCCTTTCAGGGGTTTTGCACAGCACCATAGGGTGAGAGGGTTTATCTTATTTTGAAGAATGTCACTCAGCTGCAGTTGGTCCGTGAGGATTAAGATTTTTAAAGTTAAGAGTAAATATAGCACATCAAGAAAGAGCTGAGGTTCTAATGCAGATAGGCAGGGGTATCTCCCCCTTTTTGCTTTTTTAACATTTTTTTAACGTAATATATGCTCATTTTACAATTGATTGGCCTTGTGGATTATAAGGAGTGGGTAATTTCACCCAAGCTTAAGTAAAACAACTTAAAAGGGTGTGTGGTTCTGTTGTTTTACCTTTTTTGTTAAAATTATATTCATTTATTTATTTTTTACCGTTAACAAAAATGTGTTTTCTCTGTGGTTGTCGTAGGATGCACTCGTTATTTTGGCCCAGTAGTAACTTGCATGCTGATCCTTGGCCGTTGAGGCAGGGGGCTAAAGGGCCAGAGTTGAGATCTGTTCCCGTCTTTTTCAGCAGTGCCCACATAAATACGTTTCCGCCATGTGGATATCCACTTGTGGTGTACGGTGGGCTAAGTTTAGTCAGTTGGCTCCCATGTATCTTAGTAAAAGCCCTTCACGTATCGTCCGTCCCTCTGCTAAACAGGAACAAACAACTGCGGGATTTGGAGCGGCACCGAGTATTGGCATCATTTTCCCAGCCTTTGGATCAAAGGAGGAAGAATTTTAATCTTAACGCTGTGTACTTTTAAAATCCATTTATTTTAACCCCAGTCTGTCCTGACCACACATAAAATTTCCTTTTAAAGATTTTTCTTCATGAACCTTCTACAGTTTTTCTTGGCGTTTAGATCTTGTCCCAAGCCATTTTTTTTTCTAAATAACCAGTCTCATTTAGGACAAAATTACTTATTTTTACCTTCAACAAAAATATATTTCCATTACTTCTTTTTTTATATCTCCTTATTTCCTACATAGTTGCTTTTTAAAAATTTTTAACTGTTTTAACTACATTTAGTAGAATTTTAACTCTTAGAAACCTTAGTCTCCAGTGAAGACTAAGCAGTAACCAATTGTGAATGGTCTGTTACGTTAGAAAATTTTATAGGTGGTAGACTCATGAATCCATTCAGCATAAAGCATGGATTTAAATATTCTTAGTTAATTTATGTATTTATTTTAGAAGAAGTCAGAAGCATAAGCCTGCGTTTAGTAAGCAAGCCTTCAGGTCCCACTTGATTCGGAAGAGGCCTGAACGTCCAAAGAACACAAGTCAATTTATCATTTAAGCAAAACGTTCAAGTTTTAGGTCCCCACAGGCCCTGAGAGCTGTCTTAACAGTTGCCTGTGAACTGTGGGCAGAGCTAACCATCACTTTCAGCCATCGGGCGGCCATTGGCTAATAGACTGGAGCAGAGAGAACACGTAAACCTTAGTAGAATAAAGTTGTAGAACTTAGTCATAGTTCATGTGGGTCCCCTGAATGTTTTCCGGTGGAACCAGTGAGGGAATTGGAAGTTTAAGGAGGTGTTCTTCACCTTTGACAGTGTGGGGAGGAGGACCAGGTGCCACCAGAGAAGAAGGCGGCACCCCAGGCAGCTTAGAAACTAGAGGGGGAATGGAGGGTGGGAAAGGTGAGGGGCCCCTGAAGGCAGGCCGAAGCGCAGGGGACAGAGAAAGAGTTCACGTGGTCCTAAAGCCCATCGGCTCAGACGCAGGAGCAGATACGGATTTGAGTTTGGTTTGGTTT